TCATGCCAAAGAAAATACATGAAGTCACTTAATGAAATTTTCGTGTGCTCTTTATATATTTAAAATTTCAATTAGTAAACAAACCCTTGTTAAATTACATGTTATATAATATTATACATGCAGTGGATTATCAAGTATTTCATTTAACAAAAACGTAATATCGCTTACATAAAATGCGTCAGCCAGCGATATAATATGATAAAATAAATGGTAGGTACCTGTTTGCGCTAGCTTCGCCAATTTATTTTCAGATATTAAATTATCTGGACTCAATCGAGTGCCAACCGCAAGAATGCAGTCCAGGCCACCACACCTGCTAGAAAAGGGAATCTTCAAGAAACCTGTTTTATGTTTATTGTAACGTCCTTTAATATAGGTACTTGGGCAATAAACTACAAACCTGTACCGGTTCGAGACTGCATACGATTAGCGTAAATTGAAAGTAAAAGTTTATTAATGCAATGAATGGGCGTCTAGGATTAGGTCAGTAGGGAATAGTATAGTTAAGTATAAACGAGTTATTAATTCATTGGCACAGTAGAATTTTATTCTAATTCTATAGTTTGTTATAGTTTGTAGGGTTTTAAATCCTTTTAAAAATGGGGTATACTTTTCCCCTACATGAAACCAAATACGCGGTTACAAGTTTATATTAGAAAAATAGTTACTTAAAAAGTATATTTAGTCCGCTACTCCAAACTACTTAAAAATTGTAATATATAGACAAGAATTTCAAAATAAATATGTAATCTATTCCAATAGTGATCTCCATTAGAAAAAATGTAAGACAAATACATTTTAAATTCACGCCATACTTAATATAAAGTAAGGTAATAGTTAAATGTTATTATTCGTAATCATCAGTTTAAACGACAGTAGGTGTAACATTTTAAATAAACAATAAAATCTTTAATTAAAGTTATATTTACGTAGGTTTATCTTATTTACTTAACGTAGTTTCTTTAAGCACTTACGTTACTATCTTATTTACAAAACCTTACATTTGCTATGTATACTTTGCCAGGTTATTTTATTATTCATTTTCAAGATTGATTAATTATTATTGAATTGCATTAATTGAAAATGGACGTTATTGGACTGCAGAGAGAAGGAAAACTTGACACAAACCCTACCCCAACCCGTCTGGCCAGCATGGTATAGTAGGCCAAAACCTCCTTTCTAAGGAGAGGCTTATGTCCAGCAGTTGACTATTAAAGGCTGTTGATGTGTGATGTGATGTAACTTATGTTTCCTATGACGACTTGTGGCTCCGCTCAGCCCAATAAGGATTTTGTTTCTGAGTTTATTCACATATTACATGTGATGTGATGATATTCAGAAATGTAACATATTTATGGAGGGTGAAAAAAACATCTGCGAATAGGTCACACTTCTTACTGGAAACTCAGCAATTCTTTTTGTTGAAATCCGTTTACTATAGCAGGATGCCATGGGATAAATCTAATTGCACTCCACTGATAATAATATTTTAACACAAGTTAATAACTTATCTTTGCTGTTATACCTACGTAGGTTAAGCAATAAAACTATAATTAAATTATACTAGATGTATTTATACTACCCCTAATCTTAAAGCAAAATTACTCAATATGAAATTGCTACCAATCAGTGGCTAAAAGCTACAATTTGGTGCTAGATAACTGCAATTAAGCCTCATGATTATTTTTTATTTAATATTATTGAGAAGTCAAGAGCCCATTTTGCATAACACGCGTCATAGTAACTTCTCGTAATGCCAATTACAACTCTGATATAAAAACAAACTGGCTTTATTCTATTTTGTCTTATTTTCATCATCATTCCAGTTGTAATTATTATGGCAACGAACTACGAGGATCAATTTGTTCTTATGAAGGCTGGCTGGTTGTTCACTTATGACCTTTATAAAAATACCTCGGGAATCGTTGGAAATTCATTGCGCTGAACCACCGAGGCAAGCCAATTCTCATATCGTTCCTTTTTGTATAGGGCTTGGTAGGTACTACATTACAGTAGTCTATTTTAGTACATCAGCTTTCGTGATAATGTTAAATTCTGTCATAGCATTTCATGATACCTGTTAGATTTTGTATGCTTGGAATCAGATTCACATATTCGATGTAAAAGTTGACATTTTACTAGTTGGTTTAAAAAAAACAATTGCTTGTTTTTATATAGTCAGTACACAACCCATTGCTTATGTTAGTAATGCATGAACACCTAATATGACGGCGTGAATATTAAAAAGTTAAATTAACGAGGATGAAATGCCGTTTAATGTGGTATTAAGCGATATTGTATTGAACTGTTTCGTGACGTTTTAAAATTCTACAAGATAAATCCTATTAAAAAAAAAGTTGAACCGATATCAAAGAATACCAACAACAAAGAGCACTAAAAACCTAACAGTAATCGCGGTTAAGCAATAAGCTAAGCAATAAGTTGTGCCTGAACGTACATAAAAAACATCTGAATTGATAATTTCCTCCTTTTTGAAGTCGGTTAAAAAGTGTAGCTGTCTCAATAAAGGTAGTCAATAGGTTCATTGTAATATCATAAGCATATAGCAAGTAAATGCACACTTTGATTAATGCTAAGGTTAAGCGAAAAATCATTTCTCCAGTTTGTTAAAAATTTGATGGCAACGGCAAACATATTTTTTAAGTTGGATATATATTTGGTTCTTCGTAAAAGATATGATATGATTTGCTAGGTTTAATAGAAAAAAGTGGGATTGGAACATGTGGTGTAATTCAGATTGTACCAAAAAGTGCCATTCTTTGGTATTCTAAAGAGTACCTCCTACATTAGTAGTTGAAAATAGATTAGATTATTTTACCTTTGATTTATTTGACCTTTGACCTTTAGATTATTATAGTCCATCTAATCTAAGAGGTACTATTTGATGTTTCATACTTTTTAAGCCGAAATAACTTTGTATTGGCGTAACTCATACTCTCAATTTCAATAAATTTTTCCGTAAAACCATGGAATTGTGAAGCTATTTTTATTTTACGACAAGATATATAATTTTTAATGACTAAATTTAAATTTTTACCTTTTAAACAAAGCAACAAAACCAGTAATTACAATTAATTCCTTTTTTATAGACTTCATTTCAAAGTCACGTAGTTAGGCTTTTACTATAGTGTTGCGACTCTTCAAATCCACTTACAATAATCGAACTTATTGGTAACGAGCAGCTGTCAATCCAGGCGTCTTCTTCTATTTAATAATGCTTAAATTTCAACTGACATTCAATTGTCAAAGAATACACATAATTAAAAATAAAAGTATGTAAGTAAATGTAATTTTAATAAATTTTTGTTCATGTCCAAGTCTAGTGTATACTAAAATGAACTAGTGACACCTAAAATATATCAATACATGGGTTTTTACAATAACATACATAAACTGTAAAACTGCAATCGATTAGCATTTACTAATCTATTGAATACTAGTGCTAATACTAGTAATAAAATATATACCTCAAAATCGGATATTGTAGTGATCGATCGATCTGTCGGAACTGTCAAACGGTACTTCTTAGATTAAATGGACTATAGCACTTGATAAACCTGGAAGCTGGTGTAGGCGTAGTAAAGTGCTCCTCAATATTTATAGGCACAATGGTTATCGGTTTTTTTTTTATAGAACTTGTCCAGCAAATAGCTAATGCTCTTTGCTGGACAAGTTCTATAAAAAAAAAAAAACATGCAATTACGAACACTCCTACATACATATATATGCATACATACTTTATGCATGTATGAATTTTATATTAGACAATAAATAAAATAAAAAATACAATTCAAGGATTTTTTTCCATCTATTTGGTCCATAGGCCACGTTTTCACTAGAGGCCATGTAGTAGAGATATTTCTTGTGCTACGTCCCAAGACATGCATATTTAGTGCCAAATGAGAAGGTTGCAGGACCCATGAGGAGATGTAACGAGACAGGCACTTTTTTACTTTTATAGTTAGATTACTTACTAATAACATAAAGCTCAAAATTCTGCTACTTACTTTGTTTCAACGTTCTGTTTTTTAAATTATTATTTGACCGTCTGGAAAAAAACTTTTTTCGATTACACCTCTGTAATCGAAAAAAGTTTTTTCCAGACGGTCAGACAGTTTTTTCAAGAGTAGAATTAGAACCACTGATGCAGATGAAACTGCGGAGAAAGGCTAGTCTATATACAAGAAGGAATATTTTACTTCCGTATTTTTTGTTGTTTTCAATAATAAAATGATTTGATTTCCAAATCTCGAATTCTGGATAAACACTGGTAGATGTTAAACCAATACCTGTCTGTGTACAGCTCGCATTAACTTTAATTTAAAACATTGTTATTTTTTAAATATTTCCCAACGAGCGGACATTCTTGTGGCGATTTTGTGGATTCATAAAATACGTATATTTGGATTGATACACATAGTTATTTGTTTTACTGAGATATTTTTTTGTTGAGTGAGAATTCTACGAGAGACTTGATGGCTATTATAAATGTACAAATAAAATAATTAATGCAATAAATTAGACGATTTTCCTAATAAACATAATAGTATGCTGAAAATTTTAAATGGTGATTAAATTTTTCATCAAATATTATTCTCGTTCTTACATTACATTGCTGCGAAGCATAAAAGATGTATAAAATCGATTAAAAATAACGATAAAGAGCTACTTGTAAACTAGGTTTGCGCACATATCTACCTCTACAAGCTCACGGAGAAATGCTGGTAATTCAGGTTCAGTGGTTACAACAAACAAAAAATATATATTATAATACTGAAATAAGTCGACAGCACTATAGGTACTCGTAGTATTTGCTTCGTTTTAGATTATATCTACAATCACTGTTTCATATTTCATGGACACAACCATTTTTAAAAAGATTCGTTATACTCTACTATGCTGATTGTACTTTTGTTTGTTTCAGGTAGCTTCGAGAAGAATGATCTTTATTATATAATAGACACTGATTGAACACCAACATGAACCTTAAATTGAAAAAAATATACACACCCCTAATATTTTTTATTATAATAATAGAAACAACTGGTATAGACTCTGATGGTACGTAAACTTGACATAGATAGTTTTTCTGTTATGGTTTTGTTTATACTTAGCATTTAATATATAATAGTCTCCGACAAAAATAATAAAACTTAGAAATATAAACCCTGTCCTTTTCCAACGTCAATGGAGGAGTATCTTTCTCATACTAAATTCTTATAGTGACCATTTTCAATTCTGGCCGCATATTATGTAAGTGAGACTAAATTATAGTTAGCAAAATGTGGGAGTTTTAACATAACCAATTAATTTACCGCCTACTCCCTTTTTTTCTGTGCGGAAATCCCCTCGGATACCACTTACCGGTGGCAATGTCGGACTCTGACCGACTAAAACCGCACACCGTCACAGGTACCAGTAGTCGGCGAACCAGATGTACCCTAGAAAGGAAATCCCTGGTGCCCCGACGTACCTCGGGGCATCTACGGCGGGTAGACGACCTCCCCTGTGTGGGAACCCACATGTTAAAAAATATAATATTTCAAATTCAAAAAGTTTTTGTGTTCTGTAAATGAGTGAAAGAAAAAATGAGAAACTAACATAGGTTAAGAGGCAGGCCAATGTTCAAGATAGCCGACACTATTAACGATGCACTGGGGGAAGTTATTAATAACTAATATGATATATATGTATTATCAAGACATATATATTGTAACACCATGAACAGGAACACGTCAACACGAATCACTAGTAAAAGTTTCCGACGAAAAAAAATTTTTTCACTGTTTCAATCGAAGTCTTATGTGTAACATTACTTGTAAAATCAATGAATGTTCAATCTAATAATTACAGAATCGTCACCAGATGAGAATCCTCGACCAGGCACCAGGGGCAGAATTATAAAATCATATTCTGGAGCGAGACCCGAACCCATAATTTGTACAGGTGAAGGCTTTGTGAAAGATCCTCATAATTGTGCTATGTTTTATCGGTGCATGAAATCAGGAAACAATAAATACACTATATTTAGGGTAAGTCACTACTAGTACTACTACCAAATCTACTACTATTATATCAATAAATGTTGATATGCAAAATAAAATATTTTCTCAATATTCTATTCTATTCTAAGTAAAGGGTATCTGAGTAAGAGTGCACTTTTTAAATTTAGAATATTTTTTTTTCGTGCAAGTGGTAACTCTGAAATTTGACGGATGTCGCCTCTGTTTATTCCGATTCAGAGATACAGCCATATCTCTGTCTAAGAGTAGAGAGTGTCCTATAGTAATGGCCTGTCATCAGAGCCGTGAGGGAAATTTGCCGGATATTTTCTTCCATACTTAATCGAAACATGTCTTCTTTACAATCCAATAAAAATATCACAACTCTTTCATAAAATACGTGTTTTTATTGTAAAATAACAGAGTGCACTCTTACTGAGACAGCCTTTATAACATATAATATTTAACTTAAATTTATGCTTAACTTAACTGTTTTTAGTTCCAATGTGGGCCCGGGACTATTTACGATCCCGATCATGAGGTGTGCAATCATCCCCAATCCACAACGAGATCTGAATGTATTGGTATTTCACCACCTTTTATACATACTACACATATTAATGACATTCAGGACAGTATGTATAATGAAATACCCTCTCCGATGGTGAGCAGTAAACAAATACAGCCTTCAAATACATTACAAAAGACCAGTATAATGAATGTAAAACAAACGCCACCATCGAATGCAATAAACTCTACAACAAAACTTTATATTTTATCTACAACAGCGAGCCCTTATCCATGGGCGTCATCGATAAACCTAATCAATGTTGATCGTAATTTACATAAAACTACCGTGAAACCACTAAGCACAGAAACTAAAATATCACAGTCCATTTCTCGAGATAATATTTGTACATCAGATGGATTCATGGGAGATAACGAAAATTGTCGTAAATTTTACAGATGTGTAGTAAACCAAAAAGGGGGATTTACGAGATATGAATTTATGTGTTCTGAAACAACGGTATGGGATGAAGTCAATCAAATTTGTAATCATGTTTGGGCAGTAAAGAAAAGCAGATGTAGTCTTTACAATGAAAAAGTTACTGACTCAAATATGCAATTTACCACTGAAAAATTGCACACACCAGAAAAAAATACAATGGAACTACACATCAAAGAAAATACAAAAGATAATACTGTTCATACTATTCAGGAGCAGCTTCAAATAGGCTATGGTACAAAAGTCACTCAATCGCAAACCCAAATAGGTAATGGTTTCGTGGAACAAAATCAGACACAAATTAATTACGGTGATCGGTTAAATCAAAATGAAAACAAGGGAAGCAAACAAAATCAGACTCAAATCAGTCATGGGTCAGCCGTAAGCCAATCACAAATTCAAATTAATTATGGGAATACAGGGGTTCAAACTCAATTACAAATCGACCATTCCAAAGAAGCAAGTCAAAACCAGATCCAGATCAGCGAGACGTCAACAAGAAAATCTTCAACTACCATATTTCAATTAGAAAATCAAGAAGAACATAAGGCTGATAGTACAGATTGCACAGAGGATGGATTTATAGGCGATAGTAATGACTGTCAAAAATTTTATAGATGTGTTAATAATGGACAAGGAGGCTTTAAAAAGTTTGGATTTAACTGTGCTGATGGCACAGCATGGGATTCCAGTATCAAAAGCTGTAACCATATATGGGCCGTTAAAGAATGTAATTTACATGGGCCTGTTGAGTCTAGTCAACATACGGTAACAACTATATACAAAACAACACAGAGTTATCATACAACAATGTCTACAGAACATACAACACCACAATCCATTGCAGATAATGAAGACAGCAACAGCTCTGGTTATGGAAATTCTATGCCAGAGTCGATGCAAACACCGCCATCAAGTACAACAATAACTACGCTAATTGATTCGAATGGAACTAAATGTGTGTCTGATGGATTTATAGGAGATAGTAACGATTGTAAAATATTTTATAGATGCGTTGAAGACGGCAATGGAGGTTTTACAAAACATATATTTAAGTGTGGCGAAGGAACATTATGGGATCCAGAAATTAAAGCGTGTAATCATGCATGGGCTGTTGCAAAATGTAACGGGAACATCTCGTCAGATATTAATAAACTAGAGTCAACGACTAAAAACACAAAAACTTCTACACCTATTTATATTCAAAGTACTACATCAGCACATTTCCCTACTATATCGTCTGATGAACACGAATTTGATGTAAACAATTTACCAGGATATGGACAGTCGAATAATGAAATTCAAACAACCACAACCACGACGTCGAGCAAGCGTCCACCAATATGGGGCCAACTCGATAATATATGTAAATCTAGTGGCTTTACTGGGGATAAGTACGACTGTAAAAAGTTCTATAGATGTGTTGATAATGGACACGGAGGCTTTTCTTACTATGAATATACTTGTAGTACAGGAACAGTTTGGGATAATAGAATAAATGCTTGTAATTATGCTTCGGCTGTGGATGGGTGCAGTGAAACTACTAACAAGCCTAAGGATCATAATGGAAATACCGTCAATGCACTTGAAACTACCAAAATACTACTACTTTAATACCAAGTACAACTACTACTATATCTACAACAGAATCCACACCAATAGATGAAAAATGCACACAAAGCGGTTTTATAGGCGGCTCAAGTGACTGTAAAAGATTTTATAGATGTGTCGATGACGGAAATGGATCTTACATAAGATATGAGTTTTTGTGTGGAGAAGGAACTTTGTGGGATCAGGAACTTAAATCATGTAACCATGCATGGGCAGTGACTAAATGTGGCTCTAATAGTGAATCTTTACCAATAAATAATGATCTTAACCATAAGATTCCGCCAAATGCAAATGCAGATTCTCAAATCAGTAGCACAACCAGTGCTTTCCCTACTTCTTCTGAAACAACAGAGCAAGAAACTACTAGTGAATTGTGCGTCAGTAGTGGTTATTTTGGTGATATAAAGCACTGCGAAAAATTCTACAGGTGTGTCGATAACGGTAAAGGTAGTTTCATTCGTCACGAATATGTTTGTGGCGAAGGTACTGTATGGGATCAAAGTTTAGAAGCCTGTAATCACCGTTCGGCTGTTAAGGAATGTGATTTTACTAAAAATACTACAACCAATGTACCAAGTGAGGGTACTATCGAATATTCTGTAACATTTACAACATCTTTGAAATATGAAGATTCTCCGGTGACACAAAATGTATTGGCCGTTTTACTATCTAAAAATGACTCAAGTGTTATTTGCACTAAAGAAGGTTTTATAGCTGACCCGAAAAACTGTAAGTCATTTTATAGATGTGTTAACGATGGTAGGGGTGGTCTCACAAAATATCAATATAGCTGCGGAGAAGGCACTTATTGGAACCAAGAAATCCTGTCCTGTGATCATGATACCGGAGAAGCCGATTGTAATTCTCAGACTACGACCAAACCTATGGCAAATGAACATCATCCACAAACAACGGAAAATTACGCGCCTAGTAGCTCAGAGTATTTACTAGGAGATAAATTAAATTATGATAACGACAGTAGTGCCATTGAACCTCCTCCAAATTCGGCAGGTGCTTGTTTATCAGAGGGATACTATCCGAATGAAAAAGATTGCAGAAGATTTTATCAGTGTGTAGATAATGGTAAGGGAGCTTATACCAAATATGATCATATTTGCGGTGAAGGTACCGCCTGGGATCCTAATACACAGATATGCACTCATATCGATCAAGTATCATCTTGCAAAGAGTCAGTAACGCATGACGCAGATAATACTCAAACAACCGAGAGTTCGGGATCAACAACACAAGGTTTGACTTCATCTACAACCAGTATGACAACGTCGAGTAGTCCCGATTCTAATTTGCATACTATGGACGTTTGTGCCAGTGAAGGTTACTTTGGTAATACCCAAGACTGCAAAAAGTTTTATAGATGCGTTAATGATGGTAAAGGAGGATACACAAAATACGATTTCATTTGCGCTGAAGGTACTATATGGGATAAAGATATTCCCACTTGCAATCATCCTAAAAATGTTGCAAATCCGTCGTGCAATCAGAATACAACTACTAGTAACTCGACAACAAACACGTCAGAGAGTAATGAAGGTCAAAACGAAGCATCTAAAGTACCAGGAAACAGTAGTGTTAACTGTACTAAAGCTGGATTTTATCCCGATCCAAATAATTGCAAGAAGTTTTATCGATGTGTAGACTGGGACGGCAATGAAACGAAGTTTTCCATTTTTCATTTTGAATGTGGTGAAGGTACAATATGGGATCCAGCTGTAGATACATGTAATCACGAAGATTCTGTGTACCCACCTCGCAATTGCAGTGGTTCTCAGGCGTCAGTAACAGAAGAAACTACTACAACAGAAAAAGAAAGTACTACAAAATCAAGCACACAAGCGACTAGTCAGTCGCTTACAGAATCAACAACGCAATCAACAACTACGTCGACAAGTGAACCAACAAACCAAATCACAACGGAATCTGCTACCACTGAATCTGCAGCACAAACCACAACTGAACGGTCAGAAGAAAGTACCACAGAACAATCTGGAAAAAGTACGACTGATCGCTCAGGAGAAGGTTCTACTGAACAGCCACCTGAAAGTACTACTGAACGGTTAGGAGAAAGTACTACAGAACAGTCACAGGAAACTACTACTGAACAGCTAGGAGAAAATACAACAAAAGAGTCAGTAGAGAGCACTACTGAACAGTTAAAAGAAAGTACCACTGAAAAGTTAGGCGAAAGTACCACTGAGAAGTTAGGAGAAAATACAACAGAAAAATCGGTAGAGAGCACTAGTGAACCCTCTGGAGAAAGTACAACAGAACAATCAACTGAAAGTACTACAAAAGAATCCATAGAAAATACAACTACAGAAGGTTCAGGTACAGTTCAAACAACAACGGAGCAACAAGAGACAACAGAAAGTGGAACAGATTATTCTACACAAAAACCTGCAGAAAGCGACTGTCCTAAGATAGAAGACGACCAAAACTTATTTGTATGTCCATCGTCTTTTAGAAGACATCCTAAATATTGTAATTTATTCTATCAATGCGATGAAAATGAGGATAGTCATGAATTAAAAATTGCAGTGTTTGCTTGTCCTAATAATACAATTTATGATGAAAACAAAACGAAATGTGTTAATGAAAGTAAAGCTGAAAAAACATGTGATGGAGAAATATCACAAAAACGTAGAGTCAAACGAAAAGAGAGAATAGGAAATATTCTCAATGATCCAGTAAGTAGTATTTGTATTACAATATTTCATAACTGATTTTATTTTTATTTGTTCAAAAACTAATGCTTTTATGATTATGTAGCACTAACAAGAAACTCTTATAACAAAAGGTGTTGCCCTATAAATATAAAAGAAAAAATATAATTTTACTATATTTATTTCAGCTCGTTGTCTCTGAAAAAAGTCTCGGGTGTTCTAACACTGGATATTTCGCATTCGAAAAAGAAGGTGATTGCTCCCAAGGATTTCTTAAATGTACATCAACAAAGTCGAACAAGCTACGAGGATTAGTGTATCAGTGTCCAGAAAGTTACATATTTTGGAATGTGAGCAAACGATGTGAACCATTATATAAAGTTAGTGACTGCAAGCGTTCGCTTGTCAACGACTGGAGTAGCAGACGGGAGATACCTATAGAAATACAAAATGTAGCCTGGTGAAAAAAATATTGCCATTCAAGAAAGAGAACTTTTAATATAAGCATTTGTCTTGTGATAACATACTGCGCTAGTACAATAAAATTAATTTTATTATGACGTGAAATAGTAAAACAAATAACTTCAAATGTAATTTCGTAACAAGATTCTAAGGTTTCGACTGTTATATTTTGTTAATTTTTTTATGTCGAACCTAGTGGTAATTTTATTCATATAATGATAATAATCAGTGACCTGTAAGTTTTATGTAAATCGTGTAGCATAAGCTTTAGTAATGGTTAAGTTCATATGACCGCGCGGAACCACTCTTTCCACTTGAATCCCCTGACTCAATCCCAAAGGGGATTGTACAACACTCACTATTCCACTTCGGTCCCCTGTGCTGGGGACTTTAAGTTCTAATAATTTTATTTCCTGTTTAGTCCCGTCTAAAAATAATAAAACAAACTTACTTTTACACTTAAACGGTTGATTAAATATCAAATATAGTTTGTACATTTAAACATTTCTGTCATATAATGACCGACTGTGATATTTGCGTTTACATGCGCACCGTGGAGCGCGCGCGCCCTTAACCAAGTAGAATGGGACGTAATGGAAGTAGATGGCCCGAGGTACTAGGTATTTCTTTCATAGGGTACATATGGTACACCGGTTGGTGGTATCTGAGGGGATTGCCGCAGAGAAAAAAGGGATCGGAGAGTAATGTTGAGTGTTTTGTAATCTCCTGGGGATCAAAGTAGAATAGTGAGTGTTGTACAATCCCCTGGCGGATTGAGCCAGGGGATTCAAGTGGACAGAGCCCGCGAAAAAACGCCGTACGCGGTCAGCGTGGCGATCGAATAGACACTCCCACCGGTCACGTGCGAAACCGCGCGGTCATGTGAACTTACCTGCATATTAATTTTTTTCCTTACGTTCGAAAATATTCCATACAAAACGTTAAGAAATGGCTTAACAAATTTTGGTCTAATTTGGAATTCATCATTTTCCATATTTAAGAAATAATTGGCACAAGTATCAATAATATTTTAAATTAACAGTTTCAACAGTAATGCATATACATAACTAAGACAGATTGAACATATTCCATTTTAATAATGTAGCGCAATTATATACCAATTTTAATACAATCACAAATAGGAGGATCACTCTAAGGCAATACTTTTAACTTTAGTCCTCGACTAGATAATATTGTTAAAAGTTTTGAAATATCTAGTCTATAATTTTTAGTTTTTAAGCGACAGAACTCTTACAGCCATTATATTAAGATTAAACCTTGTGAACAAAATATTGTTCAGTTTACAAAAGCAATATTTTGATCACGACTAAATTTAAGTTAGTTGATGAGATTAAGGAATGCAATAAATTATTAGCGAATGTATTTGTTTTCTTACTTCTAATAACTCTACAAAAATAGATAAAACATTTTTGAAAAATAATTTATTACAAAATAACAATAGCTAATGTGAATATATTTATAATAAAATCAAATCGATACCCATACAGGAGGATAAAAGCCCCTTACAAAAAATTGTCAGTTCAGCAATTATAAAATCAGTTATAGTTTCTTCTAGATTGTGATGGACTACATTACTATAAATTGTTCCCAAAAAGGCATGGCAAGATGTATCAGTAGCTATAATATTACCCTTTAAATCAATTGTAAGACTATTTACTTCTAGATTCTGTTCTGTTTCTTTTCTTTGTGGTATATTAGTAACATTGTATAATTCTGACTTGTTAAAAGTAGTTGGAGCTATAACAATTACTGGTTTAAAATTATGATCAATTGGTTTTTCAGTTTCTCCTAAGACATCCCTCGATAAAGTACTATCTTTATCTGAATCAGTGGTAATGATAATACTTTTACGTGTTCTATTATTAGTTTTGGTTATTTCTGACTTCGATTTTAACCCTTTATTGTGAAATAAAAATTCTAAAAATAATAAGGGTAATAAACCTATTTTACTGCTTTTATTATTAGCTTCCAAAGACCCATTGTGCGTTGATTGGTTAAAAATGCCATTCGTATTATTACTTGTTTTCAGAATCATGCTGTTTGTTCGCTCTGTATTTGAAGTGATATTTTTTTTAGATTTAGTATCTGCTGTGATAGGGACATGGCGTTCATGTCTTATGGATTGTATTTCTCTGTCCTCGGCTTCAGAAAGACTTTGTTGCGAGTAGGCATTAACCGACAAATCTTCCTTTTCTAGACCATTAATAATATCTTGAATATTATTCATTTTCTTTAAGTTCTTAGAGGTCTTAGTTAATTTATGTGTAAGTTTAAAATCTTTAATTACATTACTTGTATGTCCATATTTATTCAGAAGTGTCTGCAACTTTTCAATATAGAGAGTGTGTTGAAATCTTGGAGTTAAAATATCAGGATTAAAGGCCACACCCCCCTTATCCCAAATTGAAACTGTGCGGGCTAGAAACTCAATCAGTTGATGTGGTAATATCCTCCAGACCTTTCTAAGTGGAGAATTATCCATGAAACTAGAAAGTGACATATACTCAATGTTTATATTATGATTACTAGTTTTCTGTTGATTAACATTTTTATCTCTTGTCCACAACATATTTAAAGCTAGTTCATTATTTTCCTCAGCACTCAACCAGCCTACATTAGTATCATTAATAACTATTATAAAATTAAATTTAAAATCCACAAACGTTCTTGCTATTACGTTAACATATGGCATGTACTGATTTAAATCTATATCTTCACGTTGACTAACAAATACATGTAAGTAAACATCAGGTAGAGTAGATATTTTTAGAGAAGTGTTCTTATTTTCATCAGTTACTATGGAGTAAGCAGGCTTTGTGTCGACAGACGACAGCATAGAAAATGCAAATAAACTGTTATAAATGACAAATATCGTTAAACTGATCATTCCGATTGCTATCCACCAATAAGTAAGAAAAGACGACCAGTGATCTGAAAAAATAAATGAAAATCATAACTATTTCGATAATTTTAATATATCATGATTTAGTTACGAGTAATTCTAGTGCACTAAGCAAAGTAAACCCCACTTAAATGTAAATATTGTTAAATTCTTTTTTTCACATTCCTTTTCATTACCAATTTCATTGCATTTTATTTCGGTAAACTGTCAGAGCAATACTTTTAAGACACAAGAAGAACTCTTTGTCACTTCCGTAACTGTAATGCGATCAGAGCCCTGCAATGACTTAGTCGAGTAGGTTATAATTTTTTGATTTATCAGTACATTCTTACCAAATGGCAACCAAAATAGATTCCCATTATTGTATAACAATAGAAAGATTTACAGACGCGTGGTATAGTAGGCCAAAACCTCCTTTCTAAGGAGAGGCCTATGTCCAGCAGTGGACTATTACAGGCTGTTGATGACCCTCGTCTTTTTAGAATGTTTAATGGTGATTATGTAAAACCTATGACTTTGCAAACAATATATAACGGAAAGCAATTTAGCCTTATTTTCTCAGTCGTTCAAAAAATACTCTATCCAGAAAAAATACTGTTCACGAGGGATACCTGGACTTTGAAAGTAATAATTCAAAAATCTACATTCATATGAAGCCGCAACCGAAAGCTGGTATTTACCAAATACACTAGCAAATATGGATATAACAGCTGCTTTTTATTAATAAAAAAAAAAGATCTGATACCTGGCCAACGTGTGAAGATTGCCGCCGCCCCTTTATGGTTAATCCTAGCGCGTCCTCTGAACGCCGTTGGATGGACTCGACGGTAATATCTAGGACTATAAAGTTCCTCCTCCGATCCCTCTTCACATAGTAACGGATGTTGTTCTCGATAATATTCACTCATCACTCCCCATCGATTCTACTATTAACAAAAAATATATAAATTATTATCTATTATTATGTTACAAATATAACTCAAAATAGAATCTTTTATAGTTTTTTAATGAAACGTCATGTCAAATTTTACAACTTATAAATTTAATGGCTATACAAAAGAGGATTATCTAACAGTAGAATATGAAGTTGTGACACAAAAAGTTTCTTTATTAGAAGTACTATGATGGAATATACATAAAGATGGATTCCAAGATAAGCATATCACGACGTAATAATAACAAATTAAATAATAATAGTTTTAGTAAGAAAGTAAAGAAAGTACGATCTTTTATTACGATTTCATATACGATTTTAGCCGAATACATAAAGGATAAATATCTTTTATTTCCTAACTTTGCAATTGCCTTGCATCGATCGTTGTAAGTTACAAAAAAATCACAGACCTGCAACCAACTTTGCTAATCATACATTTTATTTCTAATCGTTTCTATGAAGTAAAAACTCCTACAAATGTTATCGTTATGATATGATGAAAATACTAGATAATTATACGTAAAATATTATGAAATAATTCGAATATTTTGCTGAAACACTGAAAATCAGCAAGTTCACATTTCTTGTCTTAGTTACCTCTATCAAAATAATAACATAACACACGGGTACGGGATACCAACATCGTCAAGCTATTAGTCTCACCCTGTTTTAATATAATAACTCCTTCAGTTGACCACTTTACTTACCTTAATTTACCTAGTCTAAAAACGATTTAATTCTGAAGGAGAATTGGTGTTAAGCAGGCAGCCGGTCATTGAAAAAGCCAGCCAAAACCTTTATGCAATGTTACCCTTAATTAAGTTGGAAAAGATGCGTTAAAACGATGATGATAGAGGCGTGATTTAAAAAAAACAGATGTAAAAAAGTGACGAATGATAAAATTTAAAAAACACGTGGGAAATAACTTAGTACAAAATTTGCACCAAATTTTAAGTACCTACATGATTTTTGATTTTCAAAATGTACACCATGTAACTTTAGATGAAAATAAAGTAGAATTCCAAAAAAAATTGAATGAGATTTAATCTTATTGTTGTATTTTTTCTAAATAACTAGAATAGGATTACTTTCTTATATATTGTCTCCTCTGATAATTATGAATATCATATTTAATATTATAGAATAAGTAGTGAGACGTGGTTTCAACTAACACATACATATATATATTATTGTTGTCTATAACAACAATAATATACAAGTATATTCAACTATCTTTGGATGTTAGACATGCAGTAAATGCCTCGATAGGCATTAGTTTTCTAATGTTGTAACACAAAAACACTGTAGTTAGGATAAAGTAGATACGTACCGCCATTTTGTATTTGACCAGCCGTTCTCTGTAGTTTCAGTCAAAAATTAGGCTACGAAATATTTTTTTCCAATCTGAATTGTAATTCCGGAAATTAGCGCGCTCAACCAAAAAAAGAAACTCTTTAGCGTTATTATGGTCTAATGACACACACATATAATAATGATAGCGACCATCACGGGGAATGTTTGACTGTATATAGAAATATTCACGTAAGATACAATCAGAATTATTGCTCGGCACGTAAACATTTTCCGCTATAATTTTGTTGAATCAACACCTCATTCGTCTCACGTACAAAGTTGTTACGATTAACACCAAACAGCAGACTTTGCAGATATTTGTCCAATCCAATACTAAATTATGATGAAATGGTTAGTTGGTCACTCCTCTGAAAAAAAATGATCTCACTTAAATGATATACATCTTTGAGCAAAAATAGTTTATGCAATAGTTTTTTTATCTTGCAAAATAGTAAGACAGAATTAGAGATGAACGTTTAAAAAGTAATTGACTTAGAAGAATCTAGAACAATAGCTTGAGACACCAATTCTTTTTATTTGAATACTGTTAAAGTTACGATTTTAAGATTTCAGAATCGAATTTACCAAAATCACAGTTGATTGCAGGGGCCACTAGTATATTCTTGCCTCGTCGCGTCCTAGTCAAGCAGCCATGGGCATCAATTTAGATATTAAAATCATCATCATCATTAACAGCCTCTGACCTTCAACTGCCGGAAATAGGCCTCTCCTCAGAAATAAGGTTTTGGCCTACTATACCACGCTGACCAGATGGGTTGGAATAGGGTTTGTTTCAAATTTCCCTTTTCTTTGCAATGCTATTATCTTACGTAGTTTGCCTCCTTAGTTAGCTCTTATGAGACCGACGGGATAAATAGGGGTAGTGACGCTCTGTATTCATCACACGGACACTATTAAAATAATTAGGCAATTTTCAATTTCTGTTATTTTGATCGATTGATTTGCCAAGTAAGTACGTTTTATAAGTAGAACGACTGTTAGCTTTAAACTGACAGCTAATTTAGTCGTGGTATTTACTATTTCTAGTTCATTATTTTAGGGGTTTCAGTATGAAATTGCTGGTTTGTACTGAAAAATTGAAACTCGTTTTTTTCTAAGATGTAACATATTTATTTAATCAAAATATTTACCCTCATTATCTATACATTGCTGCCATCTAAACGGAAGATCATTTATGCCTTCACGATATTACTTTGTAAATCTAGATTTGACAAACTGTGTGAAAGCATTTTGTACTGCCTCCTGGGAAGAAATTAGTTGATCACGTAGAAAATTGTCCAAATAACGAAAAAAATGGTAGTCCATTGGAGCAAGATCTGGCGAGTACGGAGGATGACGTATAGTTTCTAACTGCAGCTCTTGTTCAGTTACAACGGTTTCTCGTGCATTATGAAGTTTTGCATTATCATGGAGCAATAATGGTGAAGATCGATTCACGAGTTGGGGCTGTTTCACTGCCAGTTTCATCATCATTGTTCGATCTTCGACACAGTGAACATCTGCTGTTAGTGTAAGAAGCGTTAATGTTGCGAGCCGTTTCTACCGTGTTAGTGCCACGTCGGAACTCGTATTTTCGAAGTATCCATGTTTCACGTCTAAGCTGAATAAAAAATAAACAATTTAAAGTCGAAAATCAAATGTTGCACATTTTTTAAAAGAAGAATCCCATAGGTATCATGTGAAAAAGATTCACACCATGTGGGTTTAATTCAATTCAAAGTATCTGTTACTATACAACGGCAATTTCATACTTTAACCCCTAACTCGTGCAATATACGTAGGTATATTACACGTGTATAATAGGGGTAAAATTATTAGCATCATGATTATTTCAGATTTCGCATTCGGATCACTAAGTCGAAAAACAGTCTTCACATTGTCCGACAATTTTTGGAAATACATGTACAACGATACCGGACACTGTTGAATCGATGAGAAAAGGAAATGATCACCAAGTGGTGATGATTTCCTTTTCTCCTGTAAAGGAGTTACTCTGAAAAAATATATGTTAATAACACTTTTTAAGCAAAATTACAGCCTTATTGTAATAACCGTCTTTAAGCTCAGCCGTGGACGAACCGAAGCCCAGACAATTGCACATTATGAAACTATAAAGGTTTCTTATTAGGACTAGGGAATCCTAAAAACAAAAAATAATAATTGTTAATAAGACTAATACAAATAAATCACTCAACTTATACTTGCTCATTTTTTGTAAATTCTAAATCATTACAAGTAATTTAAAAGAAGTAGTTCTAAAAAAAAAGAGTCAAAATGCACAGGGATACTTGTGCAAGTAGGGAAATTTTGCACTCGTTGACTACCCTGTAAAAGCTTTTCAGTGAATTTTTCTGATTTTATCTGCCATGATGTAAAACCATGTCTATCTTAAAACCGCTTTGTAAAATACTGACAGTATGAAAGTTAATACGAGTTATATCAAGTTTAAAAACATAAAAATGACGTTCATTTTGAAATTGGAATGGCTGCAAAATTATTGGCAAATGTGTTACTCCCGTTTTGAAATTCCCTCTTACGTTGAATATCGGCAGATTTAAGTTACTGTAAATAATACGACAGTATTCTGTTATTTGGAATAAGGTAATGAAAATGTTTTATTTACATTTAGCTTCCGTTCGATCATATCTACTTTTCAATTTAGGTTTTCAAAATTGATGTGACATTAGGTAAATGCGTCTTTAATTCTAAGACTAATTCAAGATTATGGAAAATATACAAATAAACACTAATTGTCTACGTATCTTTCTTTTAATGAATTCGCATTAAAAATAAACAACTATTATAACTATTCGGTTGTGATAGTATTGTTACATCTTGAGAGTTGACTGAAACCCTCTTCAAACCCGAATCAACTTTAGATAAATATTATTTTTTTACATTTTGATCGTATTCTAATATTGCATCGCAACATGAGCATGTATAGTCTGGGTCAAAACATAAACAATAAATATTACATCCGACTTCGACATAAAGTTGAAATTGACTGAACAATTTGAAAGCACACAACACAAACTAGAAGACATTTAGGAGGACAACATGAATAAAATGTTGATGTGTGGCAGTTGTCTAAGCATAATATTTTCATAATCAGTTATTAGTTAGATATTTTGTGAACATCTTATCCGCGCCCATAACAGAAATCTTACATTAGGGTTCGCCATCGACGATTGCGTCGCAAAGGACATCATCATATTGTGTGAACATACGTAAGCTTGTATGATCCTTAGTTTATTTAATACTAGCTAGTGATTTATAAAGTAAGGGCCATACAACGACCATTTTTGTGAGGTCACCATCCGTGTAGTGATGGATTAAGAATATTTGTAACCATCACTATTGATCCCGATGGTGACGTAAAAGCCGGCTTAGGAGGCAAACTTCGCTGGACAGAAGCACTTCAAAGAGAAAGAAACAAACATCATACCACTCCGTCTGGCCAGCGTGGTATAGTAGGCCTAAATCTTCTTTCTAATGATATGCCTATCCACGACGTCCAGAAGTGGACTGTCAGAGACTGTTATTGGTGATGATGACGTACGACTGTTCTCTCCATCAATCTGTTCTCTCAATGTCGTTAATTGAGAACAATGTAATTTATCTTTACAGAACTGTATAATGGTGGAGCGTGCTCCACAGATCAAAGTAGAAGAGCAATATCCGTTGTTGAAAGTAAACGGCGGCGGAGGAGATGGAGCAACTAACCCACAAGTCGCAGCAACACTGGTCTCGACAGGCTGGGGTGTTACCTGTACCCCTAAGCAATCGTGGCTAGTACGCTGGCCGGGTCAGTATAAAAAATTATATGTACTACAGATAACCTTAGGGGCCTCGTGGCTAAGTGGTAACCGAGTAGGTTAACAGATTGCAAAGTTAAGCAACCCTAGCCAGATCAGTCTATGGATGGGTGACCATTTTTAATACATTGAGATCCCTCCGTGTAGTAATCCTGGTAGTTGGGAGCCCTCAAATGTGCGACAACAGTCTTTCTATGGAACTTCGATAGCAGTCGCTCCGCGTGTAAAAACCCTCTGTCCACCAAAACCATTGAAAAGATCCATGATGGATTTTTGAGCAACTTAATGTCCACTTTAATAATACACAAAACAGATTTTTACGAAAATTTGATCTTTTAGGATATGCAAGTTTCGAAAAATCCTTTATACTTTATTGGTGTACGAGGAACGAAGTTCCATATCGTAGTAGTCTTGAAGTTGACCAACTTAGTTTGGGAAAAAGACTCTGAGAACAACAGAGACAAAATAGAGAGCCTCACTATGTACAGTACTGCAAGTTACTCTTGTATATCAATTTCCAAAACAGATCATGCGCAATCGCAACCGAAGAATTCTGGCTGTATCAATTAGGATCAAAATTAAACGGCCAGTTTCAAGGTTGTGCAGCACTACAATTTTGAAATTAATTTACTTACGCCATTAGTGTAATCGTGCTGTAGTTTCAAGACATGCTTGAGCATTGAACTGTGACATTGAAATTTCCGTGTTGCTCAAAATTATTTTGATTTTTATTGTCTCATTTCTAAAAACGATATATCTGGCAAATAGACAATCTGTCTTTTAAAAGACAGATTGTCTATTTAATGTAAACGATTTGAAATGCATTCAAGTGTCTCATTTGGAGTTTGCGGGTTGTTTCAATTTCCATCTTTATTTTATTGATTATATAGTACCCCTTAATTATGGCTAATAAAAATAGTAATGTAATGAATTCTGTTTCAGAGTACATTTCAGCATGCTGGATGACTTTAATCTTGCTAGGAATATCATTCCTCGTATTTTATGCGTTAGGAATGGAGGCCTATAGAAGACAACCCGTACTGCTCATTAAATGCAACGGTTCAAAGCCTGCGAGCAATATCTTCTATCACCAGATTATATCTAGAGGAAGCTCTCCACCTATAATGCTCTATAGCGAGTATTTGTCAAACATGGCGTTCAAGTACCCTATGCTTAATTTCCATGTGTACTTTTTAATCGATGATTCTGTTCAAAACTCTTATCGAGCACCTAGAAACGCTAGATTCATTAACACTTTAATCCCAATACCTTTATCTACTTCATATCCATTTTATAAACTTGATGATACCACTAAGCGCGAAATTAGTGAATTCCAAAGGAAATTCCACAATCTTAATGTAACTGTGATGCCTTTGAGCAAGTACATGGCTATGACCCCGTTAAAATATAAATGGAGAAGCATACCAATTCCATACCTTTCGTTTTACACAAGAGTATTTTCTGTATGGCAATACGGAGGCGTTGGACTGGATTTATGTACCTTCAATAACTATTACAATAATCGGCAGGATGTCGATCGTAGGATTTCTATAATATTAAAACAACATAACGATGGCATAAAACCCGAGGAATATACTAATGCTCTGTATAAAATTGATTGCGAAGAAGAGAGTGAAAAATTCTTTTCATTGGTCTATGGATTGATAAGTTCTATTTTCAACGAAACTCGAACATTCTTCTCAAAAAGTTTCCAGTTTTCTCGAATCGATCCAGAAAAGGATACGAACTATAAGACTGAACCATTGATTCGTACACACAGAAATAAACGAGATGTTTCTTCTGAACCACCAAAAAATAATGATACGGATTTTAACTCTGTTTCATTTGTAATCTTAAATTCAACGAACGTTACTGATATTAAAAAAGGTGAATATTCAACATCTCTGGAAAAAGTGGATAATATAAACAAAAGTACTATAGCCTCTCAAGGAAACGACTCCTTAATTCTTGATAACATTAATTTAGAAGGATGGAACAAGTCGGATACGAATAGATCTGATCACCCGCAGTTGGTATTATTTTACGATTTCTCCGTTTTTTCAGACGGTATGGGACCTTCCTTTATCATGCCTGACACTTTTGTGGGCTCTGATAATAGCCAACCAAGTAAAGAGAGCAAATTAGTACAAAATGTTAATACTGGTTCATACCTTCTTTCTTTAGATCCAGAAGGTTTGTTTATAGCAGCATCTTCAAGGTTGCATCCCTTTTTGGGTCATTTAATTTCCGCTGGCTGCCAACGCATGCATCCCAAGTTCGCCATTCAAGACACACTACTTACTCAATGCTCAGGATTATTTAAGGAAGATATCTACTGCAATAACATTTATTTATTATAGTTTTAATTTCTTGTATGTAAATGTTTTCTTATTATTTCTTGTATTTTCATAATTTTATTCACTGTAGAAAAACGTGTATGGCATTTGGATAAATTTAGAATTAAATAACAATAATGCTCACTCTTAGTTTAATTTCAAATGTGGTATTCATTATCTGGCAAGTGTAGCTTCGGTTTTTTCGTTACCAAGAACAAAGTTTAAAACTATAAAAAAATATCAATTTGGTGCTTTTGGCAGTCTAGAATTCATCAATTTTTTTTTTACTTCTATGTACTAATTTTACCAGGTTCCTGTCCCTGGGCCATCTATGTGATTAACACCGCAGAGAGATATTTTGCTATGAAGTAGAAGAGTGCTCATATTATTAGCTAAAAGAAGTCCACTGCTGCACATAGGCCTCCTCCATCTTTACCGCGATTCTACCATTCCTGCATATATTTCAACAACAGGACTCAACATTTTGGAATTCAACATTTTGCGAATTCAACACTGATTGATTCCTAGTAAATAAAACTAAAATTATTTAGATATTAAATAAACTACCCCTGGTCGCTCCCGTGCAAAGGTGCCCATAACGCTAAACGCTGAATGGCCACGGCCAACCTATGCACCAGGAACAAATCTAAGCGGTGGTGACCAGTCACCTCGTTCAGCTTGCGCCCTAACTCATGTACACCTAAGCGTATGTACCCCAACTGCCCAAGGTCTCAACTGCTATGAGCACCAAATAATCGTCTCCAAAGGCGCGTACTTTATCCTCTTCCTCACACAGGCGTCTTCCGCGGCGGCCGATGGGGCACGGACGGTGCGACACAGGTGGCTGGCAGCAACAGTCCTGACGCATGTGCGTCCCAGATCAGGCACTTGCCATTCTTCCAAGGCACCAGTGTCAGTCCGTCTGGCCGGCAGGAATGTTGGGCGATATAAGGGCTCTACGAACTATGTCATTGAGAGCATGATGTCGCGGAAACCTCCCCGTGCAACGACGACAACTCAGAGCATGATGGCCATCGGCCTCTACCATAGAACCACAGGTGCATACATGGGGCTCACACACCATGCAGCTCGCAGTCTAGCCATATCAGCCCTGAAGCACCGTCTAACAATCTCTCCTAGATATCCCTAACCCCACATCATACCACGTCCGCTGAATGAATTCCCCGGTGCTCCTCCCTCTATAAGACCGAAAAAGGAACTTCCTCTCAGTAGCTCACGAATCAATCCGCAACGAAATTGGCTGCGATCGATCATAACGACGCGGTGCAAGAGATGGCGTCAGTAGTTTGACTTGTATAGGGGGAAGTACAGAAGATTTAGATAAAGATTATTAAAATAAACCGGCGGGCACCAACACCATTTAATCACTTGAACAGTAGGACACTCCGTAGGGCACCACTCAGCGAAACTCAGTTGTTGTAAAAAGAACGACTGACAAACTGAGCGATGCGGGGACCGACGTCATAATATCTTCCAATTCCAACTTCTCGTGTTGTCCTCCTCGGAATGCAAAATTCATCACTTTTAGTTGAACAGCACCCCCCAACGCCGCGTATGTCAAGTCGATTAGAAGAAAATACTCCCGAAGAACAATAAAAATAAAAATAAATTGTAAGAGCAGATCCGTTGTTGTTGTCAGTTAATATCTATTATTAAATGTATCAATACGAGTCCAGAATGCAAAGAACATAAACGTATTAGAAAATGTGTCGCAGGAGGGGGCAAACTAATAGCAATGATTTCTGATTCTAGAAGATTGATCTCAAGCGTGTCAGATTAAAATAGGAGGAATACCTTACACCCAGTTGAGTACTTTCACCAAAAATCAGCCCTACATATAGGGGGGGATCGTCTAGGGCAGTCTATCAAATTAGTTAAACTAAAATCGATGGCCAATAATACTCGAGCGTGTAAGATTAAGGTCAGTTGAGTCAATTACATGCATATTAGTGTGTACTTAAAAGAAACGACGGGTTGCACTCCGGGAGTGCCGGCAGAAGTGAAAACTTGAATATTAACGTTGTGCATTTAGACACACACGAACATTCGCGTAAACGCCCTGCGCCGCCTAAACAGCAGGCGCAGGCATACATGTTCGCCGCGCCGTATCAAGAGAGGGGGATACTTCCTCTCCTACGCCGCGCCGGCTGTCTACTCTCCATCGTCGTCATCATCATCGTCTTACGAATTTTCGATCAGGTCACGTGTCCTGACGCTAGTTTAACATTTTTACCCATTACAAAAAAAGTGTACAACGCCTCTAAAGAAGCTTTCACTTCAAAAATCTGACGATTTGAGCATAACATAAAGCAGTAGAAGGGTTACAAAGTTCCAAGAAAAAATACATGACCTTGACTTTATTTTTATTTTGAAGCAAACAATTGAAGAAATCTTTAAATGTCTACATAATTTTTCTAAGTAAGACTAACGAACAGCAATTAGTTTTTATATACAATAAAATAAATTATCTTTAAAGGTGTTGTTGGAACTGAGCATTCACTTGTAATGAGTATTCTAGCCAATGTAACCTCACAAAAAATAATAGGGGCGTTTTAGCCCCCTACCGGCCCATAGTGTTGCTTGACGAGGTGTGCAAGCTCTTTGAAAGAGTGATTGCAAGGCGCCTCGTCAAGCATCTCGTGATGGTTGGGCCGGATCTGGCGGACAACCAGTACGGTTTCCGTCAGGGGCGCTCCACCGTGGATGCGATCATGCGCGTGAAGGCTCTGGCGGAGGAAGCAGTCTCCCGGGGCGAAGTGGTGTTGGCGGTGTCCTTGGACATCGCCAACGCGTTCAACACTATGCCCTGGAGCTGCATCAGGGAGGCGCTCGTGCATATTTGTCGGAGAGAGCCGTCGTCTACCCCAGTAGGACCGGCCTCGGTAGGCGTGAATTGTCGTGCATTGTTCCGCAGGGCTCGGTGTTAGGGCCACTCTTGTGGAACATCGGCTACGACTGGGTGCTTCGTGGTGCCTTCTTGGATGGTGTCGCCGTCGTGTGCTACGCGGACGACACACTCGTGACGGCGCGCGGCAAGACGCACCACGAGGCAACCCTGAGGGCCACGGCCGGGGTTGCCCAAGTCGTTGAGCGTATCCGGCGGCTGGGTCTCGAGGTGGCTCTGCACAAGTCCGAGGCCCTGTTCTTCCACGGGCTTCGGAGGAAGCCGCCTGAGGGATCTAGCCTCACGGTAGGAGGCACTCGCATCGGCATCGAGCCCTCGATCAGGTATCTGGGGCTCGTACTCGATGGCCGATGGGACTTCGGATATCATTTCCGAGGTCTGGTCCCCAAGTTGGTTGGGGCAGCGCGTGCGTTGGCGCGGCTGCTGCCCAACATGAAGGGACCCGATGACTCCTGCAGGAGACTCTACTCGGGGGTTGTGCGGTCCATGGCCCTTTACGGGTGCCCGGTATGGGCGGGGGCCCTGAAGGCCAGCAACGTCGCGATACTGCGACGACCGCAGCGAATGCTGGCCATCAGGATCATAAGGGGGTACCGCACGATCTCCTTTGAGGCAGCGAGTCTCCTGGCCGGAACTCCACCGTGGGACCTGGAGGCGAGAGCCCTTGCGGCACTGTATCAGTGGCGCAAGGAGGCGCAGGAGTTGGGTCGATGCCCCGAGATTCGAGAAATCGATGACCGGAAATCCCAACTCCGCCAGGTCATCATAGGGGAGTGGAGGGAACGACTCGGGCAACCGAGCGCTGGGCACGCCGTCATTGCGGCGGTAAGACCCGTTATGGAGGATTGGCTCGAGAGGCGTCACGGGACCCTCTCATACCGATTGACGCAGGTGATCACTGGGAAGGGATGTTTCGGAGATCACCTGTGTCTGATCCGCAAGGAGCCAACGCCTGAGTGCCACCACTGCGATGGCCAGACCGTGGACACGGCTCTCCACACGCTGGCAGAGTGCCCGGCGTGGGTTGAGCAGAGGCGAGACCTCGTGGCGGCCATCGGAGTGGGAGTTCTCTCGCTCGATAGCCTGATTGCGGCTATCGTGCGGAGCGAGAGTGCGTGGAACTCTGCCGTCTCCTTCTGCGAGCAAGTTATGCTCGCGAAGGAGACGGCGGAGCGGGACCGGGAGAGGTTTAGAACTCTCCCGGCCCGCCAGGCCCGGGCACGGGCCAGGCACCGCAGGCGACTCAGGCGCCGGAGGTCGCAGAACGACCTCCGTCCTCCATAAGCGCAGGCCTGGGGGTGACAGGTGAGGCCATCTGTCACCCTAGCAGAAGCAGGCCGGGGTGGCAACGAGCGCGTTGCTTCCAGGGAGCACAGGGAACATGGGGTTCCCACACGGGGGGGTCGTCTACTCGTCTGTAGATGACCCGAGGTATGTCGGGGCACCAGGGACTTCCTTTCTAGGATATACCTGGTTCCCCGGCTATTAGTACCCGGCGACGGCCTGCGGTTTTAGTCGGTTCGAGTCCGACATGCCACCGACAGGTGGTATCCGAGGGGATTTCCGCACGGAAAAAAAAAAAAAAAAAAAGGGGCGTTTTAGCCCGCATTCTAGCAAAATGACAGTAAATTTGTTACGAGCTTTTCGCCGAGCCAACAGTTTTGTACTTGTTCATTGTCAGTACCTATCGCAATTTTGTATTTGTGAAGTACATATGTATGTGTTACTAGAATGATTGGTAAAATGATCGTGAAAATTTTCAAAACGATGTTTGTCTCTATGCTTAGCTTTGTTCGTTGTTCCGTGCCATAAATTTCAAAATGGTGATGGCGCGATGTTCGGTTACAAGGGACTGCTCAAGTCCGTTCAACTTTTTATCATATAAAATAAAAACTGTTATAAAAACTGAGAAACTTAGGTGCATGCAATGAAACGCTTCAGATGACAATTTTGACAATTGAGACAACAAGTAAACAATAAAATTTAAATGTAACGTATTAGGAAAATTATGTAGTTAAATAATTTTGTGAGTAAATCAGGCCAAATGAAGTTACCGTTTCACATAGTTTTGGGACCAATATTGAAACCGTACCTTAGCCGTACGAGATTCTTTTGCAGTCATCCAGCATTTGCAATGAGTGTGTATTACACATATTTATATGGAGCACTTGGCTTTGTAAGAATCAATTGCTTCATTTAAATATTCTAATCAGTTATAATGTTAAGACGATTTCACATCTTCTATTATATGATTATATTTTTAGTAACAAATTTTAATTAAAAAAATTGTTTTGCGAACTAACTTTAACTGTACATGTAAAAATACAAGTCTCGCAACGCAGTTTTTGAGGACTAATTAGTTAACTCACAACATGTTACAGCAACCATTTCAATGTTAGGATTATTTCTTAAATAAATACTAGAAATTTGTAATTGCATACGGCAATAGTTTTAAGACAACATAAATTTGCATTTTTTATATGTAATGTTTTTTTTTTATGGAATCTCATTTGTGTTTTGTAGAAACACCGTTCATCTGTAACATATTGTACTGTATTATATAGGATTGCAAAGTAAATTATGTAGTGTGTATATCTAGAATAAACATATAAGTATATAGTATAACTTACACTTATGCTCATATCTCCGAAACCGTAGTCGTATTTTTTTTTTGTTATTCTCTGATTGTTGTCTATCCTTAATATTCAAAAAATCCAAAAGACACACTGTGCGGCATCTAGACCACGCGACGAAATTTATAGAATATTTTAGTTTTTATTTGCTAAGAAAGCATAACCATCTTGGTCCTGGAAAATTTGATAGCTTTATCCGTCATTACTTGGCAAGATCTTGCGTGTCTCCAGATCTAATCGTAACATGACTGAATTGCCTTTAAAACACAATTACCTAGACCATGCAAAAATATTGATTGTATGAAAATATTTGTAATATTCTCAATTTTTCGAAGTATGCACTGATATAACTAGTGCAATATTTTTAAGTATTAATTTACGATTAGACTTTTTTTTTAAATAATTAGCTAACATAACTACTTACTCGTGATTTTTTGCAGTTTATAAGTGCAAATCATCTAAGAAAACATTTGGGAGAACAACCGGTAGAATCTAGTCAACCGATGAATGTGTTAGGTCAAAGTAAATTTATGCTTATACACGATTTGAAGATCATCGCAACATCTATGGGATTAGTACAGTATGCCTGTTTAGTTTCTGGATGTCTATCAGTAAGTTTTCATGTTTAAATGTAGGTATTCAATAAAGAGACAATTTTAAAAAGATTGACGGGTATTGTTTTTGCTCCAATATTACTGAGTTGCAATCTCTAGAGGGATCTCTATAGATTGCAACTTAGAGATACCTACTATCCAGTAGGTATCTCTAAGCCGCTGCCCCAAGTATGTACCGCAACTGACCAAACGTCTGTCCCTGCAAAAATCTGTAAAGAAGTGAAATTATAATTTTAGTATAAAAATTACTATATTTCGTTGTAACATTTCCTGATGTTATTAAAGTGTGCAATTTTTATCAAAGAGTATGCCTGTATTTAAATATAAAAATTTCTCATACTAATGTTCTTAAACTTTTAGGAAAACCCATCTTTGTTCCTGCCTCATCTGTTTGGGCAAATGACCGTCGTATTGGTGAAACTTCTTAATATCCTTCTGGTCTTGCCGTCTTTTAAGACATGGTGTAAGCTCACTCATAAAGTGCCTGCCTTAATTTTGTTGATATTCAATTTACTTCAAGAATTTTGTGTATTTAGACAATGTCTTTGTATTTGTGACCTCTGACCTTTTGATTTAAATACTGTAAATAAAGATATATTATCTATTTTGAGGGAAATTTACTGTGTACTATCTTATGGAGTATGTATGTCTATATAGTATAGTCCATCTAAGAGTTGCCTGAAAGAGATCGCAGGCTGCGATAAGACCACCCATTGTACCACTGTTTTTTGTTTGTTTTTTACCTTGTATGTTTCCTAATCATGGTGTGCAATAAAGAGTTGCCTCCGAGTTTAAACCAATGCATATGTTTATATCGCCTACTAATTGCTATGGGTTATACTTAGTGATTCATCCAAAATGTATTTTACTATATTTTTTGTAGAAAGCTACCCTGTCTGTTTATAGAAAGCCTTATTTTACATGAACTGATAGAACTGAATACATGCTGCTATGTACATAATTATGTTTTTGTGTTGACAAAAAATACATGATTTGTATAGTAATAACTAATATTAACCTCTATACTTACGTGATAGCATGTCTGAATATGTGGCATTAATTTTTTAAATTGTTTAATAAATAAGTACATACATTGCACACCCGGCTGCTAGCAGTAGAAATGGTATTAACTAAAGTCTCAAAACGAGCTACTTACAGATTGATGAGTCTCAGCAGGCAAGACGTCCGAATAGTTGTTGGAACGATAACAGGGCACCTAGTCCTTAACCGACAACTATTCACATTCAATGCAACAGACAGTCCACTTTGCAGGGCAAGTATCATACCTGATACGAAATCGCTTCTAGAAGCCTGCGAACGCCCCAGGCGGCTTCTGGGATTCTGGAAGGAGCTGGGTTGGCTCACCTAGCCAACTGAACACGACGCATAAAGGACTGTCCCTGAGTCTAAATGAGGCAACCGGAGTCCCACCACCAAAAAAAAAATACAGACATTGCATGTTGGTTTGAAGTTAGAATATTGACTAAATTGTATTTTCAATAACTCGATACAAAAATAACAACAAGAAGATTATTAACATTACACATATATGTAGGTACATATCTTCCTTAATATTTGGAAATAGTTCCCAAAAAGGTTTTAACGTATAAAACATATCTTGCTAAGCTTGCTAGTTGACAAAGCCACATTAGGAATTGAAAATCCGACAAGTGTCCACATTTTAAAGAATTAAACGGCCTATTGAATTCTACTGATATTTCACAATGACCTCACGTTTGCAATCCGCCTTTGCACAAAAATGTGTATGAAGGTTTACATCATCAGATATGAAAAATACTGGCTGTAAACGATGTGACCTTCACGTTGACAGTGACACAAACGGCAACAGAACACCTACAATGCGCGTGGTCCATTGACATACACATTTCATATCTCCTCATGCGGTACATTATGTAACAACCAAAACATTTTATGTAAAAATTCGTGTGTTCTCATGAAATGTATATTTATGTAATCTCCACCACCGAACCGAGTAACATGAAGGTTCTTAGTGGTTAAATGTAAGCAGAATGAAAACTGAAAGCCAAACGTATTTAATGGATCAAATGCGGCTCAAACATAATAACCGAACAATCATTGTAAGTATTCTTGGAATATATCAACATTTCTTTATATTCTTAAAATGTCAATATAGGCAAGCCCAATAACCTAAGACTACTTAAATAAGTCAATCTCTTCTTTAAACTAGGAGTGTGGCGTATATGGGAAAAGGTAACGACACTTTATCTTCCGATTTGTTTGGTAAACTCTATCCTCAACTGGCTTAGAGAAAATACGAAGGTTTACAGTTCTTCTCGGAATTTTCTTATTTGCATATTGTTCCTAAATTTAAAAAAATACTTATTTGATTAAAAATTAAGTAAATAAGGTGGTAACTATATACCGGTCTGTTTTATATTCGGCCGATTTATATTTGTTTACTGAATTAGAGGCCTATATTATTGTCGTGGTTGTACAGGCCTCTACTTTAATGTGCTACTCTGCTTATACTTGTACCTAGTGTAGTTGTCCGTTGCTTTATTTTTAAAATCGTTTTTTCAATGAAGTCTGTATTGGGAATTATCTCAGTTTAGTGTGGTCGAAGGATCCCATTTTCCTGAGGAGGAGATTACATCCGTTCCCCCATATCGATGCTGACATAATTTTATAATTAATGCAAAGACGATTTCAAACAATTCTGTTTTAATTTAAGTATGAGTTATGTATTCCGAAAGTCGAAGTACATTTGACTTATTTCAATTAGCTGTCACATGTCGACGAAGAGAACTCGGAAGGGTTCAAGATAAAGTTGCGGGCGTTGTTAGTCGCGCTGCTCGGAGTGTCGATGTCGGCGTGTGCGTGTGCCTCGCAGCCGGTTGAACTCGAGTTAGATGATGACGACGTCGCGCAGAAGCTCAACAACGTGTGCTTCGCTAGACGGTAATATATTACTTTTATAGTTATAAATTTACACATATACTGTGCGACCGTACGTTCTGAAATTGATGAGATTGCCCCTTGATATATAGCATGTATGGCGCCAAAATATGGCACCATGTCATGCAAAAATGTTGAAATGTCTTCGCTCGCCATCCCTTTTGACCCTCTGCCGTAGCAGTTAAAAATTCAGTCATATATCTACATCATTAAATCATGCACCTTTTAAATGATTTTGAGAGTTTACATAATCAAAGCGCTGACTGCATTGACAGATTCGGCTTAGAAATTATTGAAATAATTGAATCAGTAAAAAGGGGAAGTGCTTTTCGATTTTTAACCGAGTTCAAAAGGTTCGCAAGTCGGTTGATTTTTTAATTTATTTTGTTAAATCAAAAGACCTTCATTTATGAACTGATTTTTTATTTCATTTTGGAGGGTATATCTAAACCCGTTTGGCTCTTTTTAGGGTTCCGTACCTCAAAAGGTAAAAAAGGAACCCTTATAGCCCGTCTGTCCGTGTGTCACCACCGATTTTCTCAGGAACGGGTAGATCTAGCAAGTTGAAATTTATACCAGATACTGAGGTCTATGGCCCCCATTTAGTGTATAAAAATCAAGGCCCTGAGTCAACACGATAAAAAGATATGGACAAATTTCGATTTTCGCGAAAACTTGTAAGTACCAAAATTTACCTTAATTTTCAACTTTTTTTATTTTTCAGAATTTTTTCTTTACTTGTGCTGTAAGCCCTTGCTTTTAACCAAAATTGTCAATTCTAGGTCAACCGGAAGTACCCTATAGGTTTTGGGTCAAAAACATATATGGTAGTTCCCGTTGACCTAGTAGAATCACGAAATTTGGCAAAAAGAAACATCTTACAGCACAAATAAAGGAATAATTCTAAAAAATAAAAAAAGTTGAAAATTAAGATAAATTTTGGTACTTACAAATTTTCGCGAAAATCTATGTAAAATCTGGGTAGGTACGGAACCTCGGCGCACGAGTTCTTTTCGTACCTGACCGGTTCTTTATTTATGGTGTGTAGAGGCAAATATTAAGGAATAACGAATACAGTTTATTACAATTCTTTATGATCATTGAAGTCGGTGGTACTTTCTAAAGAGTTTTAGTTTTCGATCGTAGCCTTTGTAGTAGTTATGGTTATTACATTAATAATGTACCTAAATCTAATTTTAGTGCTCAATGACTTGTTGCAGAATAACAAAACCGACTATTCGCCTTGTGATGGGCTATGGCAAACTTAGTGTTTTCGTCACCGCAGCGACATCTTTGCTGTTACTAATGGCTGTGATGTCTAAGGTGATGAATGTACTTATCATAATATACATAGTTAAAAAATGCATACACAAAGCTTATCTATTTATTTAGGAATTAAACATACACAATTAAGAAACAACAAGCACAGGACCGGTTGTTGTGGCGAACCATAGGGGACGCATTGGCGCATTAGGTGGGATTTTTCGTATTTAAGGCAATAGGAGATTCACGCTTAACCTCATACCGTTTTCACGTTGTGATTACAATATCAATATTTTTATATTACATCGCAGTTATATAGTTTTTAACAAAACGTGTTCTGATAGAGTCCTCATAAGTACTCATGCCTACTTTGGATGAGAGATACATAATTAAATTTATGTAATTGGTATAGCGAGCGTGGTGGCGTCGAGGCGCTCGTTGGCTGGCAGCCCCAGCGTTGTTGGTAGCAGCACTGGAGGCAGCTTCAGACATGAGCGATGCAATGCTCGCCGCTGCTCTGCGTGGAACCGCCGAACCGGCCCGCGTAGCCGTGCAAACAATAGCAGCCGCTCTTCTCATCACGGTGGAAGTATTAGTCTGGTAGGTACTTACGTTTCTATATCACTCACCTGCGTTTCTTGTAATTCAGTCGTTCATATTACTTAACTTTTTACACAGGTACTTTATAGCTAAATTCTTCGAGTACAACCCACCGCCGTTACAAGAAGAAAGAGAAAAAGAAAATCTAATGAGAACACTTCCAGAATAAATATTATTTCAACTACCTACCTATACAAACGTTACTGAACCAAATCGATAAACTCTATGTAACTTACCAAGCGTTTTCTTTAACTTTTATTTACGTACTCTTTAAAATGTACGAGTAAGTTGCCTCGGTAATGGATGAGGAATTTAAATTAAGGGATTAGAAGCAACTTGTCTGAGATCCGAATCAAGCGCAGGCCACACCGCCAGCTGCCGAGCGAGCTGGCGGGCGAAGCGAGGTGAGGGAAACTATATAAACTAAGTCAAGCTAAACTATGTGGGTTTACACCGAAAACTACGGACGGGAACGTTCCGTGTCACATTAAGCGCACGCCACACCGCCAGTTACCGAGCGAGCGTACGAGCCGGGTGAGCATCGTTTCACCTTTTTTCATAGTTCGGTTCACACCGCGAACTACAGAGCTAAGCTACGGTAACAAGATAAATAGCATCGCTGGCATCGTTTGATATTTCACGATAGTTTATATCGCAAACTAGTATCGCACCAGAGGTACTTTCCTCGAAGCTCCTTGTCCCACATTTCCATGCGCATCAAAATTTCAATTTTTCTGACAATATTTCATCCTGTTCGTAATAAAATAGCGATTAATTTCATTAAAAATTTATTTATCTTTAATAAATAAATTTTAAATGGGGAAAATAACTTATTTTGACTTACTTGTTTATACCTGCCAACCCAGTAGTCATGCAAACAAAAAAATAGACAACTCAACGTTTGTATATTCTATAGGCCTCATACTTTCGGTTGGTATGAATGCAATGTTCAATACCATAGAAATAATTAAACACATAAGTTTTATGATTACGATTTCTATGTTCAATAACTTATTTTTGATTTTTTTTAATAATCATAGTATCCCCTGGAATTTTGGCCAACAAACTAGCATTTTTTTTTAACAAATTCAATTTTATCAAATATACTTTTCATCCATTAAACAGGAAGTAAAGGTCTTTTCTAATTCGGAACCTCTACTACTTTGAAAAAGCTGTAGACACGAAACATAAAAGTTGTCATTAAGGTTTAATATTGCGAATGGATAAATGAAACTTGGGTCATTTTTTTATTCTTTATTACGATGATAGCTTTTATACACATGTCAAAAATAGGTACATAATTTTGATCTACAAAAACACAAAAACTAGTAATTATTATTATTATTTTATATTTACCCAAAAGAGGTGGTTATATGGGGACCCCCCATAACTACATAACGAACTAGACCTATTTTTTTGCCATAATAATACTTTGATATTATTGTTTTTTGGCATACTATTTCAGTAAGCATAAATATAATTTAGGCTAATGTGTTTTGCTCTAATTTAGATTGGCATAAAGTTATAAGGCATGTTGTTTATTCGTCTAATAGTTATTAGGCATAAAAGATTAAAAGGCATAATGGAACCATAATTTAGTTAATTATACGTATTTACTCATACTTTCAATGCAAAATATACAAGTATATAATGTTTAAGGCGATTATGTCGAATAGGTCTCCACTAACAGAAACTGAAATGGTAGGTTAGTTTAGTATTGTAACCAACAACGAACCAGAACCGAACTGTACGTGTTTTATGTAATCGAGTGTTTCCCGTCGTTTTGATGAGTGTGTTTTTTTTTGTATAGGTTTAAGATGACACGCCATGTGACAAAAAAAAACTCATTATAATTTTAACGAATAATTTGACTACTTATCAAAAGCTAACGCGACCACGTTATAATATCACTATGCGTAAATAAATTTATGTTATATATATAATATATATATAATATTATGCTTAAAAATTGAGCCTAAACGGTTATGCCAAATAAATATAGTCTTACTATTATTAGGATAAGTAAAAGTATGCCATGTTAAATTATGACATATAATTTTATGCGAATACATAGGGCACCGGTTTTATGCAAGCTTGTAGGTTCCAATAAAATTATATTTGATTAGAAATGTTAAAACAGAAAACTAACAAATCAAACAAACATGATTAGATAAAATGTTAACAATAAGCAAGGAAGTGTAAATTACATAGACAAGATTATCTTAAATTACATCTTAGATTAGAGTCGATTTGCGTTAAGAAAATAGTGACGCATCTATCAATCTACCAAACCTGCTTACGTACAAATCAATAAAGAATATGATTATCACTATTATTTCTTGTAACTTGATTGGTCAAGGGCGAGGCGTGATCGATGCGTCACTATATACTTAAGGCGAATGGACTACAATTACATTAAACTGTGCGTTTGTGCCGTGTACTACAGTTCTTGATCAATTTCAAATCTTAGTTTTCCAAGGCACATCTTTTTGGAACAATGTAAGCAATTTGTTATCACAGTGCATTCCGTAAATCGTAATTTTTTTAAATATTAATAAATACATTTGGTAATCAAAGGCCTCATTTGATAGGTACAAATTACACACGTCTTCATCTTCTACTCGTAGAATAGCAGGATGCGTCTTATTTTGAAATTAATGACGTTCCATTATTATGTAGCTACAAGATATTGACCGAAGCTTTATCAAATGAAGCGTCAAAAGCAAGTGACTAATTTATTACTTTCCTTATATACTATATAGTTTCATAAACTACTACATACTAAAAATAATTTATTTTGCACATTTGGTATTAGAATTTGGACATTTGTGATATGTTTCGTTTTCTATGAATACAATATAGTTGAATACAAATATTAATACAATTCTCTGAATTTGCTTATTCATTACATTTCAATAAATAAGGTTTCACGACGCTAAAAGAAAAAAAAAGTTTTAGTCATATCAAGTCGCGTGAAGTGTAACGCTTATAGACACGTGATATTATGATCTCGTCGATAGAACTCATCTGTAAATTAGTGTTCTATTTTTAAATGTTATGTTTATACCTTTTTTTACTTTTGACGTCATTGGCACTTGTGCTAGGCGATATTTTTCTTCTACATGCACATATTGGTATAAGAATAAGTTTATTATGCGGGAGTTTATTGTTTATACTCAGTAAATGCCGAGTTTGCAGTTTGACTTGCATTAAATCCAGTTAAAATAGTATATTTCATAAGCTAGTTGTATAAAATCGTTTGGCACGATAAATAAATAATATAATAATAGTATTTTTGAATAATATTAAAATATTTTTGAACTCTCTTGAAGATAAATTTATTAGGTGTCTTTAATATTTCCAAAAGTTTATAAGTTTCTGTTTGTAGCATCATAGCTTCTAAATGGATGAACAGATTTAGACTTAGTTTCTTTTCTTCGAAATCTAATTTGCTTGAGTGTTCTTAATTATTTATATTATCTAATCTTTTCTAATTGCTGAAGGGATTTCTCTATTCGATGCTATAAGAATATTAAAAAAATATATATCCACTTTTTATGCAATGCATTATATAAAATATATGTAATAAGTGAGTATATAACCTCAATCATCTCATATCTTTACATTAAAGATAGTATATTCGTTTGGGATATAAATTAATAATATCATATATTAACATTAGGGGGAAGTCCCGTAGCGCCGGACGGCACCTAGCGCCGGACACTCATACTATTTTGACAAACGTCAACGCGATCTATTTATAAATCGATGAAAGGGGTGCGGGGGAACGTAGCGAGACAGGATCACGCAACGCGATTTGCCAGTGAGACGCACAGTCGTGGTGGAAGCGCTGAATTGCTGTTTTTGGCGGGAAAGCGTTGCGTCACGTAAATTTCAAGTAAGTATTACTGCTATGGTTTTATCCTTAATTGTTTTTGTTATTTGTTAATAAAGACAGTGTTTCACTATAATTATTATATTGTGAAAGTTTTTATTATTTTATTTAGTATGAAATACGTAATTTTGGACGTTTCCTGTCCCCTACTTTCGGACACAAAGGTGTCCCTTACCACCGGACAGTTTATAGGTTAGCTTTTTTTATGAAGCATTTGTACTTATTGTAATGATGATTGTTTGTTGTTTTACAGGATAGAAGGAGAGAGATATTTGAAAATGCAAGAGAGAGAAAAAAAAGGAAAATGGGATCATCAAAGTTTAAAAACTGCGATGAACAAGATTTTGTCCAAAAAAATGAGTTTGAGGGCAGCTTCGTCACGTTACAATGTTCCAAAAAGTACTCTACATGATAAAATAACGACATTGAGCAGTGGAAAAGAAGTCACGTTGCAACCAAAAGTTGGTAGATTCACAAAAACCTTCTCACCCGAGTATGAGCAAGTTTTAGTGGACCACATAAGAGATTTGTCTAATAGATGTCTGCCCCTGATGAAAAACGAGTTTTTTGAAGTTAGCTTACGACTTGGCTGAAGCTATGAAGATTCCCCATGAGTAAACAAACCAAACGTGGCAATAACGACAACAAAAAGGAGCCGTTAACTGAAGTATCAAATATAGAAAAAACGACTTGTGTAGTGTGTTTAGAAGACCACGACGAGGACTGGATACAATGCTCCAGATGCCAATAATGGGCTCCATGAAGCATGTGCAGACGTTCCAGAATGTGGAGATGCCTACATATGTGATAGATGCTAAAAGTTTTAGAATGTCCGGGGCTTGGGGTTTGAAGATTAACCCGTCCGGCACTAGGTGACAATGTCAAAGTCCTTTATTTTTTTACCAAAACTTATTTAACATTCCTAAACTATGTTTACGCAGAATTTGTATTTTTGTTATTTGATTTTGATTTTATGTTTTGTTAATTTAAGTAATTCATAAATAAATACATATTTCTCGATGTAGTTTTAATTTTATTTCCTGAAAACCTTATGTGTCCGGCACTAGGGGACTTCCCCCTACTCATCTCACACATGGCAGTCCAATCCAAAGCTGGGCAGAGTCAGTACTATGGTAACCAGCCTGCTTATAAACATACTTATAGACACTGAACAAATGATTGTGCTAATCACACAATTTTTGTTCTGGAAGGGAAGCAACAAGTGGTTTTATAACGTCAACCTGTCAAAACAACTACATTTTGATACAAGAATATAGAGTTACTAATAACTAATGCGTTCGCGTAATTTGCTTTATATACTTGTAAAAATATTACAATCACACAACATTTACTATAACAATAAAAATAAAAGATTAATAATCCTTAATTTACACCTAATTCCTACATGGTGAAGGATAATATTTCATTATCCTTTACTAAGCACGATTTTGATTACCACTTAAATAAAAATGTGATTTTTCTATGTAAGCCTTTAAGTACGCACAGTAGTACAATACGTACTATTGTGAAATATCCTATAATATATACCCACAGTTAATTCAAATGTGAGTGCACCAAATAAAGTAAATAATTAATATAATATAATTAATATAATTAATTTTTAGGTACGATTTTAAATATTTTTTTTAACATTTTAAATCATTAGTACATTGCGACTACAGTTACTATTGTACTATTGTTATTTGCGACCTTCAAAGTTTTAAGGCACTGAGTGTTTATAAATCTGCAAGATTGAGAGAAATCTACACCGGAAGTTAGGTAGAGGTATAATAATATAATCAAGTAAAGGCCCTTGAAATGTTCTTAGCACTCAAATAAAGATTATTTTTGCTAGACATATTTTGTGGTTATTCTAATATTTTATTTATCCAAAGAATTTTACTAAATTTAATTTTGAAAGTGTGCGATTTTTAATTAAAGCAATCGTTTTTGTGCTTAAAAATGGGATTTTATACAATTATTTGTAAAAAATATGTATGTTTCTCTGATTTTTTTTATATAATTTTGATTAAAAATATATTTTTTGTATATTAGTGATATACTAAGCAAACCTAATTCCCCTGCAGGATTCACAGACTATAAGTTTCTTGTGTGGATACTCAATGCGTCTCTTATCCATCTCTTCATCAATCCAGCGGAGCAGACGATCTTTCAACATTAATATCGTATCTTGACGTACCATTCCTTCTTGGAAGAAATCTTTCAACACAATCATGATAGTGTTATCATTGCTATCGATGTCCCCAAATGGTGTCTCGTGCTTCATATAGTTGAAGACAAACTTCACAATTTGCACAATTAAATCGTCTTCTGGACTTAGTAGTCTCAATCTTGCAATATCTTCAGGAATGAGACGTGACAATATGTTGAAAGAGAGAGTCATTACATCGGTATAGATGTCTTGGCTCAAATTTGCTAGAATCGAAGCTATATTTTCAACTCCAGAAGAACTTACCCGCACGAGAAGAGTGCCTATTCTCAATATTTCGCCAGGATGAATACCAACCAGCATAGTGTTTTCTTCTTCAGCGTCCGTGAACGTTGTTACAGCATTTGTTGACGGACTGATTCGCGTAGGCATATTTCTTGTAGTGACTTCAGCGGGACCTAGCGTACTAAACAACTGTGATCGCCCCTCCTTCCCAAGGTTGTATAAATCTGAAGGGTTAAATTTATGTTGTGCGTTAATGTTAACACGGCCATCGGATGTCATAGAAATTCTGAGTTTGTTCTGGTTGATGTCTTTGTTTATTCTAAGTGCATCTGCAAAGAATTGATCCTTGTCAACGATGTTCTTTATGCCTCTAATGACTTCGGTGTTGCCTTGAACGACTCCTTGAACTCTCCTCGACTCAGCGCTTATTTTGTCGAATATTTTTCTGAAAATATAAAACCACTTAAAACAAAAGACAAATACGGAGTGAGAGGTTTACGTCAGTCGAATAATATACGGACTATTAACGTTACAGCGTAATAAGTGCCTTTGATTGAAGTAAATGGTAGAGTAAAAATAAAAAGTTACAAACTTACAAGACGATTATAAAAGACGCTTATAAAAAACAAAAAAAATATATATAAATACTCAAGCCTTTTATTTTACTTTAAGTAGACACAGGCATAACGTAAACGCGTATCAAATGAGAAGATGATCACAACTGCTCAACTTCACTTAATTTAAGGGAGATCCCTCAAATCTAAGATTTAAGCGAAGACGTTAAAGGTCTTTCTTGTAAGCATAAATTTATAACTATTGTCGGACACCTAAATAGTAAAACCTAGACAACTGCATGTGCTCTTTGAAGTGATAACTTCTTATGGGAGAGTAAAAGGTTCGTTACGTAATGCGTTACGGCGCCAGTCTGTCTGGCTTCCCTTTCTCTCACGCATACGGCAACGGTAGGCAGGCTCGTCTTCTCTCACTCTAACCCACAGCGCACGCCGTATTTCGGACAGACGCTTTACATAAAATTTAAGTGATAACCTAAGCTTTTCTCGAGTTAAACAATTTCGATATTAAATATTTTAACTTAGATTAGTTTATGTTATCACTTCTGTCGGGCATCCCGAGGCGTACACATTTTTTTTTCTAATCATTTATTTTTAGTGAAATTGCACGCTAATTGCGAAGCAATATAGCAGTATAATGGTGATGCTTATATATTTTTAACCGAATATTTTTATAGAATATATTATAATTGTGTGTAAAGAATGCATACCTACCTAATTTTATAAACTAAAACACGAAGTTTTTAGTTAATTATTTACCCAACAAATTAGTATACTTGATACACGATACATGAGATCATCAGAAAATCTAACACTAGGAATTCCAATACACTCTAACAACTTTTATAGTACGCGCCAAACAACTCTGCACCAATGAAGTTCGTGCAAGTGGCGCCGCAAAACACAACTTAAGGTATTAGAGGGTAAGCCCTGCGCATCGGCAGAGACGCGGCGGCACTAGGCCGCCGACGCTTTGCACTGCTGCAAGGTCAGTCGTGTATGTCACTCTGACGCATTAAATAATTTCACTCACACTGTGCTGTAACGTACTGTTATGAACATAATTGTTATAATTTCTGTTAATATTATTATTTGTGTTTATTATCAGCTGTTTTGTTTGCGTTTGCTAATATTGTTGTACGCTTTATATGCGTTTCTCAAAATACTGAGACGAAACTCTGAAGAGGCAGGTCAGAAAAATAGTTTTTAAAAAGTGGGTACTACAGGAGTAGAAAAACAGTTACACAAACACAAAACAAAAAAACTGCGGCAGCTACGGAATATGACTATCCGCACTGTACAAAATATACATAAAGGAATAATGAAAATTTGCTCTACACTAGCTCTATATACGAGTTTACATATTCATTATACAATTCCGAATTTAATAACTTGAATTTGTTTGCTACCTACTTGTTTGTATCCTACTATTGCACGCCAACAGTATATGAAATTTATTTGTATGTTTGTTTGCGCGAGTGTACCTGCGCAACATTCGGTTTGCAGCCAACTTCGTTGACGCAGTTATTTGGCGCGTACATCTTGCATAGTACAAGCAGCACGCCTATGGAATTCCTTACCAGAAGTTATAAGGCGGGGACAGTCAGTGAGTACTTTTAAAAAACTCGTCAAGGCTCACTATTCATATCTGTAATAACTATGTGTAGGTATTTGTATATATATTTAAATGAATGTATGTATAACTAAATAATGTAATACTTATTAATACATATATATTCGAAATGCGCACCACCAACCACACATTACTATACAGTATAGTTCATCTAAAGGATGCATGTATTTGATCGCAGCCTGCGATAAAGCTGCATATTGTAACACTGTCTTTTTTGTTTGTATTCTGCATTGTATGTTTGCCATGGTGTGCAATAAAGAGCTCTTTAATAATAATATATTATTATAGTCACTAACCTGTGCCTATTGCTCCTAAGTGTGGTGCGATATTCGTTGATAGTTTTAGCTTGAGCATCCTCAATAATATTCTGAGCAGTCCTGTTTGATACAACGGCATGACAGAAGAACAATGTTGCTGTAGTAAACTGGAATAATTCTAGGCTGGTAGGTCTCTCTCCGTGCTTCCGGTACTGGAAAGTTATATTAGAAGTTTAACATAAGTGTTTTTACGTATCGGCGTACAAACGGCAACAAAAAAATTGCGTAACACCGTTTTTCTGTAAAGCCAAGGTATTACCCCGGTCGAGCCACCCCATACGTACTTGGTAAAAGCTTACTTTAATGTTTACTAAAATTTAAATTAATCCGAAATTTTTTAAACCCTAAAATTCCTTTGAAGTACTGTAGGTATCTAAAAATATTTCCATAAAACTTACCTTAAATACGATATGCAATAGGCTGTTTACGACGCCTGCGCCGCCAGTCACTATGTTGGCATGACGTAGTACTTCAACTGACACAGCTATAGCTTGACCCGTCTAAAAATATTTTAACATCAGCTAATATCATGTATTTATAATACAATTATATTTTTAATAATCGCACTTAATCTATATGAGATCTAGATTACGACATTTTATCGGATGGTGGCAAGGATAATATACAGCGACATTTCAAAGCAAATTTAAAAAATAAAAGTACTGTTTTCCCTTAAGAATAAAAAAACAAATAGCTTTCAATTTACCTTAGTATGAAATATATTCCTAACATCGATATAATTTTACACCCAATATTTGCAAATTACATTCATATTATTGATTATTATTCATAGCAAGGATAAGTAATAAAAATAGAGATAAAAACTATTCACTAATGGCCATTTAATTTTTTTTCTTTTTATTTCTATTTTTTTTTATTTAGTTATTCTTTATAGTAAGATTTAAAAACTAAACTAAATCAGTTTACTGTAATTTTTAATTTCATTTTACATTTACCCAAAGAGTGGATATAAATTGCTTACTTCTGTTAGATGAAGTGTTTTATAACACATATTTAAATACTATGCACTGTTCTGAACTATTAAATAGTTTAAAATCAGTAGAGTACCTATATTTAATAAATGAATATCAAATTTATACCTTGGTCATATTAGTTCCAGCGGCCGCGGTTTTTGAAAGTAATGAGCTCGCAGCTCCCGCGGCTAATCCCACGCTTGAAGCAGCGATGTTCAGCCAACTGCCGCGGGCCTCAGGGTCCGTTGGACTTATTGTCTAATTAAATAATTAACAATTACTGCGTATACTATTATAAAATTGTGTCAATTCATCATCAACAGCCTTGAATAGTCCACTGCTGAACATAGGCCTCTACTTAGAAAGAAGGTTTTGGCCTACTATACTACGCTGGCCAGAGGGGTTGGTACAGAGTTTGTTTCAAGTTTTTTACTCTTTCAAGTGCTGTTGATCTGGCATCAATCAAATCAGGGTCGTTAACCTAAAAAGTCATTTTGGTGTCATTGCAAAGTTGTTTGATTAACTTGAAATTAGTACATTTCACAAAAAGCCGATAACAATAAAATAACTTCTCTTAAACTACCACTGCCAAAAACAAAGCGTGCTATAAGTATTTTTGACACCCACGGGATGAATAGGGGTGGTGGCACACTGTATTCTCAATCCGTAACGATCCGATCGATGGAAAGATCCGTCACCACACGGAAAGATACGGATTGGAATAACGCTTTGTATGTACGAGTACATACAGTTTGGATAACTTCTCTTCGAGGAACGGGGACTACTAGTAAACTTACGAGAGTAGTTTGGGTTACAGTAGCTACTGGTGTAGCTACTAGTAATTTGGGTTACAATGCCTACTAGTACTTTCAACAGATTTGGTTTTGTAACCATGCATGGTCTGATGTTGCAGCCAGGAACGGAATTGTTAAAGCATTTTATACTCTTCAATGCAACGGAATAAAAGGTGTTTTTATTTTTATTTTACTCAAGTTTAACTATTGCTTTATAACTGGGCATGTATATTACTATGGTTAGGGGTTGCTTTCTATTTCTTATAACCACTTGTAATAAGCGAATTTACCTGTTCATGAGAACTCCTATCATGAAGATGAAGCGATGACCTCACGAGTCCGTAGACACCAGTAGCAACAGTGGCGGCGGCCGCACCCACCAACACGACCGGCGCGACAGGTGTGAACACCGCCACACCGATCACGCCTATAGCCCCAATAGACGCTACGGTACTGACCGTGTCCGCTGAACTCAACACACGCGCCTTAATACCCAGGGCTGGCGATGGCGCCACCGTCAGTTTCACGTAGAAAGCTTCTTCTCCCTGTTTATATATCATTAAATAAAAAATCATTATATCACCTCATATAAATGAACAAAAAAGTTTTCCATAACCAGAGTGGGGTAATAAGAAGAAATATCACCATAGCCGTATAAAGCCTGGACAGACAATATTGCTTTCAAATTATATTTGGTGATCAACAAGGTAATTATTATGTCATGAAAACATTAAAAACGATAGTAAAACATACCCCAACAAGGCTTCCAGTGTATTCGCCATTCTCAGGTACTATTATGACACATTTAGGGAGGGTATTATCCTCCAAGTATGACTGCCAGTTATGATAAACTCGTGCGCTATCGTCGACGTATACGCAGCAAGATTTTGCTGTAATTAATTACCCAATAATATTTAATAAGTGGTAAAGACTCAATATCACAGTAGGTAGGTATGAAGAGAATAAACATTTATGTTAAGAGAATAAAGTCTGGTGGTTTATTATGTTGTTGTAGGTATCATACATGCATAGAACAACAATTTTTTATAAATCCAATTATAGGAGGTAACACTAATATTTTGTAAAGTTGTAGAAAAATATAGTGTTTGTTTGAATATAATACAAAATTACATATAAATTGTTTGATTCACTAAGCTATCATTCTCAGTGACTGAGATTAAGTATCTAATAGGTCTTTACCTATGAAATTGCTGTTTTGTATGCAATAAGTGAAAGTACTTATTTTTTCAAACTTTTTTATTTCTGTTATTCGAAGTAATCACCCATGCAATCGACGCTTCTTTGCCAACGCATTGGCAGTTTAATGATGCCCTTCTTGTAAAAATCAGCTGGACGGGAGGCAACAAACTCTTCAAAGGAATTTTGTACTGCCTCTCGGGAATTGAATTTTTTACCCACTAAAAAGTTGTCTAAATTTTGGAAAAAGTAATAGTCGGTAGGTGCAATTTGCCCCTTTTTTTTTTTCGGCGGAAATCCCCTCGGATAGCACCTGTCGGTGGCATGTCGGACCCGAACCGACTAAAACCAATAGGTGCAATTTGCCCTAATTGTTAAATATTTTTTTGGTACATTAAAAAATTCCGACGAAAGTATGTTCAGATTGTAAGTTATTATAATAATAATAATATAATATAATGCTTTCATTGCCAACTTTTATAGAATTTTATGTGTGTCAACATAAATATGTATCTATTCTATTACAATTGCTAATTGTTGGAATCCAATCATTTCTCCATACTCCAATTTCCTTAGAAAATTTAGTAAAAGAATATGAAATAGTTTACCTAGTAGTAACTATTAAATAAATAACCTTAATAAATTTGATTTTAATAACAAACCAAAAATGTCCTTTGTTTCGGGTAATTTGTACATGACCAGCCTGTACGTACAGCGAGCTGGCCAACTATGAGTGACAAAGATTTTTGTTAGTGACCCTGTCTGAGTGTTTTTATACCTCCATAGTAGATATCAATTAACCTATACTTCAGTTACAAATACAATTGAGCAATACCAATGAGTGAGAATAAAATGTAACTTTGTCGGTATTATGATCTTGCAATGCTTACCGCCAACTGTTGTTGGAATACATTTTCTGATTTTAAAAACAGCTGTACACCATATATCGCCATCACTTTTTTCGTGCAGATCCAGCCAGTAGTTAGATGGTTGTATTTGATAGATCTTTAGAGGCTTTGGCCGAGCACACACTATGAGGAGCACTGACAAGAATATGTCCTCATCATTTTGTGAATATTTACCTGCAAATTAATAAGTAACTATACCAACATAATTTTAGAATTAAAAATCAAAACGCGACAGTTTACAAATTTCTATTATGAAATTGCTTTTTAAAAATAACCTTGAAAATATACTAAATATAATATAAGGAAGAAGCAACTTTAAGTAAAACCTGAGGAAAGCATACCTTGATCACATATTTTTTCATAAACTTTCATAACTTGCTCTTTTTGTCTGGAAGTATAGCCCTCTAGGTGTGCACTTTCACTGTCTTTTTTTACTGTCAGACTTCCTTCAATGCTTGGGCTGCCAAACAGTGCAAATGCAATGTTTTGAAGTAGATAATTCCTGTTTTTTTTCTCATACCTGAAAATGAATAAACTATTTACAATCGCTTTTAAAAGCATATACCGATAAATGTAAGTTTATTATATAGACTGCATTCATTTCATAATACATAAAGAAATAAATGTCTTTTAATTTTACTAACTTGCATTACATTATAATATATAACAATAGCATCATTAGAAAACCCCCAACATTAAAAAAAACTTGAAAAAACAAAAACTGCTCATTGAGACTGTTCTCATAAGTCCAAACATGGTATATATGCTGTAATTTTCTGAGGTTATCCTGCAGACTACTGGATGCAGCATCAAATTCTAATATACATTGTCGTAAAAATAACATCAAAGTATCAGATCAATCGGACCTGTGGATTTTAGTGAGATCCCTTCATCACCTAGGAAGGGAGATGGTAATCTTCAAAAATTACACATTGGCTTTCAAAGCCGCATCGAAATTGGCTCATCCATTCGTGAGCTATGATGGACGTCTGATCCCAGATTCTGTTCTATTTTAACCAGACAGCTAATCAACATACTTAAATATTTCTAAATAGATACATATCATAGATAAATTACACCCAGACAGTACAAATGATTTTGTTTATCACACAATTAGTTTTGTAAGTATACATTATAACGAGAGTGATATGGATAGGAATTAACACAACATAATAAGTTTTATATCATTTTTCAACAGATTCACAAATTAGCAACAATATATTATGCTATGTTTGATAAATAATTATTGTTCAACCATAAAATTATAATCCACACGTGTTTCATTTTTTAATGTTATATGTACATATATTAAAATATATCAAGGTTAACTAACTGCTTTGTGATGTTTACAAGAAATATTGATAATGGCTTATAGACTAGTATTGGACGATTGGGGGTTGACATGTTTATACAAACTTCAATTATAGAGTTATAGTAATAACCACTATTGTATCTACTTACAACTACTTAAAAAAAATAGTTTAAGTCTTAGAATATTAACATAGATAGAAGTGACAATCGGAGCTGAAAACAGCATAGAGTTAATTACTGAGCAACATTATCTAATTCTAAAACTCTATTATCTAAATTTCAGCCCTCTGTCTATTAAATAAAATATTGTATTATTACTTACCTCACCCAATCACAGTCACCTAAATTTTCAAAATATTCTTGTTGCATTTGCACAGGAGTCATTTTTATCGGCAAATTTACAATATCATCATACATCATTTCTGTGTTATCCAATTCATTTGCTTCATATGATGAGAGGTTAGGAACAGCTTGCATAATCGCCATGTTTATTAGTCTTTATTCTTGATTTTTCATTATGAAATAAGACAAAACTTAAATTAAACTAACTATACTTGCATGAACTGTATTATGTACCTATGGTTTAAATACACTATCAATAGATTGTTTCAACAAAAAATAAGAAAAACACATTTGTAATTCAAAGGACCTAGGCTTTCACTATACCTAATATAATTTAGATACATACTGAAATAAATTTATAACTTTAAATCAGTATAAACAACCGTAATATTATATTAATTTGACATTAAACATTAAACATTTGACATCTACTGTAGTTTAATTACAAAAATATTTATATTTTTTTTCAGAAATGTATAATGAAAAAATAGCAATCTTCTACTTCAACTTTTGGTTAGTGGCTTTGTGGTAGAGTGTAACCACAATTTCGCACATTTTTTTTTTATTTGAAAGAAAACCAATCTTAATAACCTATTCAGGACTAAGGATGTATTTAATGCGTACCACTTTCATTTGACTTTAAATTTAAAAGGCTATGACTAACTTCTTTTATAACGCTTAAAATATGCCGTTAACAAACTAGGGTTTTAACTGCATCAATAGTTGACGCAATATGAAAAATGATTGCATATTAGATGATAATTAGATGTAGGTATGATTAATTACAATTTTCATCCTTACCTTTCTTATCAGATTTTCTTTTAGAAGTGAGCTCCTAGAAAGACAATTTTTCAATGTAATGCCACTTCAACATAAACGTCTTATAAACTCAAGTTTGCAAGATTATATTTTATTTACAAAAGAATGCTATCGCAGGGTAAATTCCCGACCACAGACTTTGCTTTTTTGATCTATAGTCAAGAAAGTTTAGAATTCTGTTTTTTGTTTTTATTCTCATGTGTCAAAAGTTGACAGACGCTGTGCTGCCAGCTATTAAAAAATATTTCAAATATGTTTTAAGCGGGCAGAATGTCTCTTGAACCAAAAACAAACATTTTATAACACTCCCTGTTATAAATCGTAAAATCATTAAATTAGATCAACCAAATTCGTCTTGGTACCAACTCAGTTCATATTATATGACGCGTATAATTGAGATAATAATACTAAAAAATCGGAGGCAGTATCAGTGACTTAATTCAATATTTGTAGTAAATTGTACCAAGTGCCATTAGTTAACAGTAAAAAATCTAGCTTTTATCTATAGAACTTCGAAACGCAATATCTTCTTTGTGGTTGATTTCATTCATTTCGACCGCTGACTACTTACTAAAAATACTGTATTTTTTAATTGGCCTTTTATGTTGTTCAAGTACTTTTTCAACATTTAATTTTATTCCAAAACTGAAGTGTTTTATAATTTCCTACTACTTATTATAGACGAAATTAATTATTTTTACCATAAACTAACTCTAATAAGTTGTGCTTGCGGCTTTGCTTGCGATAAAAATATAACCAACATTTAAACTGGCGTTATTATCATTCACATTTAACTACCCTTTGCACTATTTACATGAGTGTAATGTGTGGCTATATTATTATAATGTCTGAATGAAAAATTTAGTCTTAATCAGTTGTTTCTGATTATCCATATTCTGTAATTTGTGTTTAAATTGTAAAAATAACGTTTTAGGCATCTGCCACTCGTAAACATGCTATACGTATATCGACCTTGGCTAAACCAACACTTAATTAAATCTATGCCAGTTTTTCTTAAAAGCTATGCTTGGGACTTCTTGACTGTCATAACAATTTGGAATTAATGGGACATATATTTTAAATTGAATTGAATTCGACAGTATTCCACCATTTCGTTTTTAAAGCCAATTCATATAATAAATACATGATTCCCTTAGCCAAAGTATCACCTGCGCCAATCTGTTTAACTGATTTATTAATATCTTAGCCCATAATAGCAACGGTAAAGAAGACAGTGTTGTTGTGAAGTTACATTGTTCTTGAGTAAAATGCAAGTTCCTTAGTTACTTACTTTTTTTGTTGGAAACTCTAAGACTTCCATATCATAATTTTTTCATCTAGGTACAATCCATTTCGCTCGCTATGGTAATTGTAGAGTTTCCTTTAATAAAAGTTATTTGACTAAGCTCAAATCAAATCAAATTGTTTATTTGCGTATTACAGGTTATACAAAGATCTTATATACTAGTTTAAACCTCTGTATACAACCCTTTCAGGTGTGCAAATAGTTCATACAAATTAATAAACTAAACTAAACACAACAAATATGTATTAAATTGTCATATGTTAATAAATAATAAATAAAAATCTCTTTCCTAAATTACATCAGTACCTGAGCAAAATCGCATCGCAATCGCAGCTCAATAACATTTAGTTAGATTAACCTTCTAAAACCTAGACCTATTTCTTAGCGTTCCATGGATTCATCGTGCGGGTGCGTGGGCAACGCGTGATAGATGGGGGCAACACATGCGACTTCGACAACGGGATTTGCGACCCAGGTATAGGTTTAGAGAGTACTCCTTGCGACGCGTCAGCGCTCACCTCCACTGTCTGCTGTATTACCCCCTCTACCTAACCATGTTTGATATGAGCCTAGTAATGCCGCTTTGGATATTCGTTCAAGAAAAGAGCTTACCGAAGCTCTTGGCAATCCAAGGTCTTTAAGCAGGTTATAGAGGCATGAGTTCTACTAGTACTACACGCTTAATTGAAATTGCATAAACAAATATGTCTCCGGTATTCTGTAATGATTTTCATACGTGTCCACTTATAATGTCCACTTGTATTGTGAAGTCTTTTTTGTTGAGCCTTCCTTTACAAAATGTTAGTTCCTATGTTTATTGTTATTCCTTTTGCCGCTCTCGCCAGTGAATAACTTATAGATTCGCATATGATTTGTAATACCCTATTATGGCGACGTGAATAATGACCCCTGTCTAACTATGCTGCGCCTTACAACCTGTCAGTAAGTGCCTGGCTGTATCTATTGCATCACTGCACATCGTAGTCGCCTTTTCTGTAGCTTTTCCTCACCTTGATTGATTGACTTGATTGACAATTGACTCCTTCCGATCAAAGCAACCTAGTTGCTTTGATCGGGGAGAGTCAATTGAAAGGCGTTGAAGTAAAATTTTAACAGGGCAGGTGAGCAATCGTATAAAAGTGTGTGCCATTTCAAAGCTGGTGGGATACAAAATTCTCCTAGAGTTAACTATTCTTTCTGCATTTTCAGTTTCATTGCGTGCACTTGTAGGTCTCGTTTTTATCTTGCTGTAGAAAAGATTTCCTCATCTCTTTGTCGGTCTGTCTTCTAGCATTTCAAAATCCAACTCTGCTGGGCTGCGTACCCAGCATGAATTTCTTGTGGAATTGGAGCCGTGACTCGAGCTCTGATGAATTTTTGTCTTTTGGAAGGGATCTAATGATTTCGTTTTGTGATTTTGACAAGACAGCATTCTTTTTAATTTCATTCTAAAGTTATTCGATCCCCTGTACAACATTGACGGGTCTGCAGATGTTGCTAGCCCGAGACTACGACTTCAATGTCTTAGTGACTTTCGCGTTCAGTGTTCTTTAGTGGTTTTGGTTTATATTGTATACCAGAAACGGCCAGTTGAGGCGTGATTCCGTTGAGGCGTATTAAGTTGTTGTCGTAAATCCAAAATTTTTTTACGTTACTTATTAGCTCTTGGTCTTATTAAGTCATCGACTATTGCGTTCATAGATGATTTCTGATATTGCAGAGAGCCTGGAGACCGCTCACGATTAATATCAACTTTCTGAATCCTGTTATATAGATATAAAGCAAGCAAAAATACTAGATTTACTGTTAAATCGCGTCTGACCTACCTACCTAGCAACCCTTACCTAAAAATCGAATGATAAATCACAGTTCACTGTGATTTTATCCCATGTCTAGAACAAAACGTGACGTCAAATTTTACTGTCAACAAGTTGTTTGTTTGTTTTTTTGGTAGTTTTTATTTTGTATTGTTTCGCGGTTTTTTCATACTAAGGCAAATGAAAATAGGGTAGAACTTTTCTCTTTCTCTAATAAGTTAAGTAAGTATACGTTTTCATTCATAGGCAGCATAGTCAATACTCTTTTGGATAAATACCTATGTATTAGATATAGAGAATGTAATTATTTAAGTACTAGCCGACCATGTTTTGTGGCTTACATACTTTGTGTATTCCATTCGGTGTGTATTCCACAAAGTATGTAAGCCACAAAACATGGTGGGTCGGCACAATAGCTATAGGCTATGTTGTATTCAACATAGCCATGAAATGTATCGTGAAAGAATAAAACTAAAAAATAAATAAATCTTTACTTGCTAACTTTTCGTAAACTAGTTTATGTTTTCGTCGAAGTTCGTAAAAAATATTATGTGCAGGTAACTAAGTAAAAGTATAAAACACAATACATTATCTCTTCTTGCACCACTTTTTCCGCATACCTACCTGTATCTTTCGGCACAATAATAATACTAACTTTTATGTCCTTTTTATAGTAATAGTTTGATTTTCAACCCTCACTTTTTAACTGTCAGTAATTTTGTGATACAAACACTTCGTTGTGGACATGAAACTCTCAATAATCTGACGTCACAAAAAAAGCGCGTCAAAATTTGACTTTTGTAAAAAAAGTTTATATTTCGGGTGTGTTATATTTATTTTTGGTAATGGAATAACCAGTAGAAACTCTTAAAAAATAAAAAAGGACATGCATATTCCCTATTACCTGGACACAATTTAACTAGGGCAAAGGATTTGGGCCTTTGTAATAAATACCTTCGTATGAAAAAAGGTAGGTAGGTATTTAAGAATTAAAAAATAAAAGTATTCGTGTCGTTTTAGTAACTTGTATCTCAAAGTATTTGGTTAAGTTAAGAGTTTTATCAGCCCTAGTAATTTATCATAAACATATATTTTTTTAAACATAGGTCTTTTAGGTATCATGGGTATGTGATGTATATATTATCAAAATAGAACGACTCAGCATGGTTTATGTTGCCAGACTATTGAGAAATCCGGAAACATTATGTACGTTATACGTTATTTTTTGTGTATTGACGGATAGTCAATCATTATTCGTCGTCACCGCACTCAACCAGTAAAGGATATCATATAATTTTTGGTGGGAGACTTGGGCTTTGGCAACTCTACAACTTCATAAAAAAAAAGATGGCAATCCGGGATATCATCATCATCATCGCCTACGGTCGCCCATACAGGTGCACCATAGCACATAGAAACTAAATAAGTAGCTGCGTATCTTTAATGTATTAAATAATAGACCCCATGTCGCAGTAGATATCCTTGTCAATGCACAGAAACTCTTTTTAGACTTTTCATTAACTATTTTAATATGTCGGGATATGCCTGGCTTTCCTGGGAACCCTAGTTCTCCTACCCTACCCTAGAATTAATATAATGCTACCAACTTTTAATTATAAACAATTTCTGTTTTGGTTTGAACAAGAACTTTGAAGGACGCTGAGTATATCTATATAATAAACGAAATAGTTTGATTGGCCATTTTACAAACAGTGTCGCTTGTTTATAACCTTTTTGTTTATTGCTAAAGAATAAATAATAGAAAGGTTACAAAGATGGTTTACATAGATAGGTACGTTATTATGTATATAAATAACGATGTGACTAGAGATGTTTTGAGTAACTTACCCATGGTTTAAGAATAAAATAAAACACTAAATGTCACAATAAACAAGTACGTTACAATAATTACTTGAATATATATTGAAGGTTGTTTAATTATTTAACGTAACAACAGTTTTATTTATTTATTTATATCTTTATTGTGTACACTTTAATAGAAAATAACAAAAGATGAGTTACAAACAAGTAGACGTAACAATCGGCGGTCTTATCGCTCACAGCGATCTCTTCCAGACAACCTTAACACGGATTTTAGGTATGTATATAATAATTTAGGGTAGTATACATACACGTAACACATTATCACGTGAATATTTAAAAATATTCATAAACATAAACAAACACATTCATACACAAATATAAATCTATGGATATTACACATATACAAATACACATACCTAAACATATTTGGAATATATAATATATTAAATAGTGAATCAAAACAGCATTTATAATGACAGATAAAAATCCTTTGATAATTTACAAAAAACAGGCAAAGTTTTAGCTTGTCTGGGTATGTCTTGGCATTTTTAGTTTTAAATTCTTCGATGACCTCAGGTCCCTGCAATGTGTGGAGTGTAGGAACTCAAAACGTTATTTGAGATATGAAGGTGTGTGAGGATGAAACAGAACACTGTATAAAAGAGAAAAAATATGGAGATTCCGGCGAAGGCGTATTGGTAGCCACTTGAGTTTGGAACGATACTCTGAGATGTAATCATACTTGCGTAAACCAAATATGAATCTAATACAGAGGTTTTGGAATCGCTCAAGTTTGTTTAGTTGGTCTTCGGTGAGATACAGGTAGCTGGCATCGTTTTAAGTTTAAAAATTACAAAAATGCTTGATTATATTCAGTATAATGTAACAAAATTGTTGGCAAATGTCAATAATTTTAAATCCATTGTCTAAATTAATACTCAGATCAAAATGTGATCTGAGATTAAATAGACATAAATAGGAGTAGGTATTTCAAGGATTCCGTAGGTACTTATTAGGTAGTTAGTGAGTTACTAGTTGTTTTAAATGTGAGATGAGTGTGTATGGTATTCAAGTAGTATTCTCTTACAAACTGACAATCTATTGTATTTTCTGCTAAATTGCACATTTAACGGCCTTCATCATCATCGACTCTACACTGTGTACTCAGTTAGTAACAGAAAGCGGTTTTAGGATTAAAGATGTTAAGTTGTAGTGCGAGGGCTCGAGGACCCTGCAACATTAAGGTTCCAGGCACTGGCCCTGCAAACAATGTTTTTTTATTTTTTGACTTGACTTTGACTGCACTAATGGCGTAGTGGTTTAAGCGGTCGCCACGCCGCTTCCTACAGCGCAGAGTGTTGTGGGTTCGATCCCCACATGGTCCACCACTTTGTGTGATCCACAAATTGTGGTTCTGAGTCTGGGTGTTCTTTGTGTCCGTTTTATGTATGTTTGTAAAGTCCCCCGTGACAGGATATATATTCCTAATGCGGTAGTTGTCTTTAAAAAAAAAAGAACAAAAAATAAAATAAAAAGCATTAGCACCAGAGGACGCGGTAAGGTTTACTTAAATAGATCAAACACTGGAGTTCGGAGCAGCCTGTTAAATTGATGTTTTTGGTAATTTGTAACTGTGTCAATCAACAACGGAAAGGTAACTCAATTCAACGAAAAGATAACTCAGAGAGAGAGTAAAACAAGAAAGAATACAATAAGAGTAATTTTTATTTGTCACCAACTAGTGACAAATCATTGCATTGCTAGTATACAACTGTACTGTAACAATAAAGTTAGTAACTAGTTGAATTAATAATCCATAGTGGATTACGAAAATTCGACTTTAATTAAAAAAGTACGTTCCGACTGAAGAGTTCCATAATGTTAAATTAAGCTTACCAATACATTACATGACATTCATTAAAATATATTTTTTCAATGATTCTGAGATTAACATATATAATCCAAGGTTAATTTACATAACTGCATTATCAGTTATACTGTTGTAAACATACCAAGAAATTGAATAGAATTAACACGTCGTACCTATACAGAAATGACAAATTCATTAATATGTATTATGCCTAGTAAAAATGAAAAAAAAAAACATGTTGCCTATGTGTCCACAAAATTTAATGACTATTTTGAAAACAATCCTATTGTTCCGGTGTTTCGATATACATCTAGATCAAGTTTACATTTTTGTAACAATGCGGGTTTATATCCGCGAATGACATTTTGTCTCTACCGTTCTGTTATTAATATTATGTTTGTGATTATACTCGCAGCCCGCAGCCAATAACGTTTGCATGCGTGTAAGGTTTAAACGTTCTCCGTCCTGTGTCATTACAATTATTTCTTTTTTAAGCACTTAATAGGCTTACAAGTGTTAACAGTGAATTTTAACTCCTATTTCTTTAAGTTAAATAATAAAATTTTATGATATTTACCGAAAGTAAGGGATTGTAAAAAAGAAGTGTTTTAATTATAGTTATGTCATATTAAGAAAAATCTGTTAAAATCTGAAAACGTTATTAACTTATTATTAAACTTGACTTGATTAGTTTTACAAAAGGTTCAAAGTAAAATTCAAAGTGTTATAAATATTATAATAAACTATTTTAGTGGTGTGGCGAAGAGGACTCATAAGCATTTGATTCCAAATTAAATTTGTATATTATTAATGAAAGATTAGTATGTAAACCTCTAAAAATCAATACATATGATGTTTACTCGCCATAGCATTTTGAAGGTGTGGAGAAAACGTTCAACGAAAATTGTCCTTCTTATTTTATTGGGTTTATTTACATATACTTTGTTTGGAAGAAGCCGTGATTATGACGATTTGATGAAAGAAACTGCCAGAGAAGTGGTAGTAAACCAAGCGTATAGGAGTCATAATACTGTTATTGCTAAGTTCTTCAGAAGTCGTCAGGTAAGACTTTGTCTTATAAATGGAACATACATTAAAGATATGAGTGCGTGCAAACCTGGTAGAGTAATTTATTTTAATAATAAACTAAAACAAGTACACCTAGACTTAATTTTTCGTATCCTTTTTGAACTGTCCAGAGCCCTGATGCATTGCTCAGGTGCAATTCGACCTGACACAAAAGCAGTCAATTGCACTTGGTTGTTGGTTATTTCGGGATGATATTAGTATTCGGGAACTCCAGCAGATTTGAGAAGTGGGTGATGTTCTCGAGGAGAGTAAGCCAACCTGATCAAACTGACAAAGTGAACATGGTTATGTTAGCTACTTACTAGTGATTTCCAGTTTAGTTGTCGTTTTCTGTGGTGGAAAAACTGTGCTAAGGCCATTAGGTTCTCGCTTTTTGGAATCGTTCAAGTCTTTAGGAATTATATGAGAAGCAGATTCATTGCGTCTTACTACTTACCCTATTCATTAGTCTAGGAACATTGCAAGGAATAAGACCCATAAAAAAATGCGTGGTGAATAACATTGACCGGACATCACAGAACCTTGATCGGCAAGGGCGTCACGGCATCCTTTAGTAAAACTAAGGTGAAATTTTTTTGATACTTAGCTTGTAAGGAATAGTCATTCTTCAAAAAGTTAGTTACTGTATGAAATATTTGAAACTAACTTGCTTTGAAGTCGAGTATAATGAGCATGGTTGGAAGTAACAATATTGAGAATGCTTAATGTACTTTTATTTGACGTATTTCAGTCAGTAGGTATCTACCTAGGTATATGATGCATGATAAGAAGATGATTAGATAAGTGGTATATCTATACCGCCAGTTTTTCTGTACTAAAGTTGAAATAGTTGAGTTATCCTTTAGTTTATTATTTTTGTACCTATGTACAAATTAGATGCTTCGCCAACACGTTGATCTGTCATAATCTGTATGAGTTCCATTTTTGTTTAATGAGTATTTTCTTTATCTTGTGGAAGCGTGGGTATCACCTTACTAGGGTTGAGGGTGATGGGGTATGTCGAAAGAGAATAGACTCTATTGCAAGCGACGTATCATGAGGAAGGAAGTCATTGAGAACCCCAGCAGATCTAGGCTGGATCTAAAGTGGATTAGAAAAGCTAATTTGAGTTAATGTATAGTTTATCTTAAGCTTAATACAGTTGAATTGATTTATTGGATTTTTGAATAAATAATAAATGTAATAAAATAAATTACATTTATTAGTTTAGAGATTATTAGTGCAAATGTGGAAGAAAATTTTAATTTAATTAGAAAATCAACAAAAAATATTGAAGTCCGTTTACTAAAGCTGGGTGCCGAGGTATTAACCTAATTGCGCTAGACTCTGATCACCCGAGAAAACCCTTAGTCTATTCACTAGAATAATAGGGTTGTCCAGGCTCGTTACTCAAAAGTGTGTCAAAAACTGAAAAACTGTATAAAAAACGACTATTAATTTGTAGTGCAACACCGCACATTAATTGTAGTTCGTAAAAGGACTAATTTATTAATCTATTATAATATTCCTTTTCTTAGTTCAAAAAGATTACAAAAATATATTTATGCGTATAGGTTCATTCCCATGTCTGATTGTTGCCGCGTTATTAAATAGCGTCTGTAGAGACGACATATTGCTATTTAATAAAAACGAACAGTTTACCTTTTCCACATTCCTTAGACTTTTCATGCAAGCTCTCCCGTCACAGATTTTTTGTGTTAGTTTGTAACAGGCATATTCCTGGGTCTACCAACATCGACGTGCCTACTTTTATATCAGTATATAGCCAAGACCCATTCATAAATCAATACCGGGCTACTGAACCACATCACTGTCACATGAGTTTGTAGTACAATCAATATCACTATTTTATGATATATTAATATTAAAAAATAAGCTATAAATAGTGTGAGTTAAGCGATTTCCAGATAGGTTGAAAGAACTTAAACAAATTGTGTATCTGTTAGAAATAATATATAAACTACTTGGTTATTTGTTGATAAGCACATCGCTGAGAATAAGTTGTTAGACCTAATTGTTTTTTTTTAATGTTCGCTATATAATTCGTTGAAATTTTAAAGAAAGTGAGTCCCTTTTAAAGAGATTCAGTGAAAATCACCAAGTACATAGACCTGAATATTTTAATCTATCTTGATAGTCTTTTTAAACTACGACGATAAGATTTCCCGTGAGGGAATTAGTGTTATTTCTATGAACTCATATATCAAACATTATCATATCATATCGTTTATGCAATTTTGAAATGAATTATACTGTAGTAGTTTACATTTTTATTCATTCTTTTGGTTCGATTATCTGACTATTTTAACGTTAAAAAAAATAATTCATTCCGATTTCCTGCGATATAACAAACCATAGCAGGAACTACGAGTATCTGCAGCATAGAGGAACGCATATCGGGTTTATTTGTTGATTGTGACTAATGTATACATAAATAAAGTATACAAACTGTGATTTTGTCCTGTCAAGACAATGTCGTAAAAACGCAGCGCAATCAGCTGGCCAAGGGTGCCACAATTGTAAGATGTAAGATGTTTTTACGTGTTAGCAATCACTGAAATATTTATTTTTATACACAGCTAATTTCTCATACAAAAATCTCTAACTCTGAGGGTTTCCCCGCATCAGGAGCTATTACAACTTTTGTAATCGACGTGTAGTTTTCTTATATTCATGGAAATGCAAATCGTAAGCTCAACCTATGAAGATTTCGAGAGTCGAAGCATGCATGGCACTACTGAATCAGCATAGAAACGCGGGAATTCTGAATCGAATTGTTACCTGCAATGCAAAGCGTTCGTCTTAGTGGGTGGACCCGGATACAGCACCTCAAAAGTGCGCTAAAAAAGAGGTTACCCATAGTAAGATGATGGTGACTATCTGGCGGACTAGTGCCGGACTTGTATATCACAGCTTCTTACCGAAAGGCACAACAGTGAAGGCAGACGTCTATTGCCAAGAATTGCAACCAATGACGGAGAAGTTCTCGATTCAACAACCAGGTCTGGTCAATCGCTATTCCTCATTGCTTCGCGACCACAACGCACGAGCTCACACTTCACGACAGACCATCGCAAAGCTATAAGAGTTAAAGCTGGAAGCTCTCCGTCACCCACCGTACTCACCAGACCTTGCCCCAACAGATTTCTACCTTTTTACAACAAGTACAACCAGTACAAAACGCTTTCACTGACTTCTTTGCCCCTCGTCCAGCAGACTGCTACAGTGAAGGCATGATCCATGGCCTAATTCTAAATACATTTTAAAAATTAAAACTAGAAATTCTTCTTGGAAATATTGTGATCAATAAGTTACAGTAGAAACAACTACTTAATTGATAATATCCGTAAATCGTGAATGTATAAAAATTTAAATGAGTACTAATTATTAAGTGGTTTTATAATGATTGAATTTTTAATGGCGCTAAACTAAGGCCATCTGTAAATTAGTAATGAGTAATAATTGTAAAACTACGGTGGCTAAATATGAAATGCATTATAAGCGCTTTTAAAGTATTCTCAAAATTTAAAAAACGTATTTTCAAAGTTGGTGTAGTTGCTTTCTTAGGTATTTATATTTACAAATTATGCATAACCCATAGTCAATTTTATATGAGGAATGAAAGAGGATTAGCACTCATAGGGCTTGGGATGCATATGGATGAAATTCACAACTATTTTGATAATCGTCTGGTGAGAAATATTTTCATACTATTTGCAATTAAACATATACTAACAAATAACTTAAATATAAACATTTTCCAAATATTTTCAACTAACAAATTCTGTTCTACAGCGTCCGGTAAAGAAAACGGTCTGGGTGTTAACCCAGACCACTTACCGAATGTTCTATTAAAATATGTATGTACTAACTTTGCCCCGCGGCTTCACTAGCGTTAATGTGGATTTTCGTGATAAATAGCCTATGTTCTTGCTCTTTTTTAAATTTTATTTGGGGTGGCGAAAGGAATAACATCGCAAAGGGTTCAACTGGCCTGGCTTAGCGACTTCTTTCATAGTGGCTTTCTGCTGAAGGTAAATTAAGGACACGGATAGGCCAGTCGGTTTACCAGATGGTGAGTAACTATCGCCGCCTATAGATCTAGACCTGCAACTCAAGAGTCAAAAGTGCACTTTGAGCCCCCCCCCCCGTAAAATTAAGGGGAGGGGGTTTATCTCCCATAACGCTCGGTGAAAAGCAACGAAAGGATGTCTTAACACCGGTTTTCTGTGATGAGGTGGTAGCACGCTGCTCGAGGCAGCCCATTTGTGCAAAAGCATGGAATTACCACGTAAATAAATTAAACTAGCTGGTACTCGTGACTTCGTTCGCGTGACATTTGAAAACGCTGCCTTAGTGGGTTCGTTTCCAGGACCGGGCAAAATTTTAAAGGGTTTTTCTGAGAGGAAATAAGGCTAAGTTACTCCTTATATAAACAGCTACCTGGTAGTAAAATATTATTGTAATCGAAACAAACAGACAGACAGACAAAAAAAAAACTGGTTTTGTATACCAGGGATTTCCTTTCTAGGGTACATCTGGTTCCCCGGCAACTGGTACCCGAGACGGCGTGCGGTTTTTAGTCGGTTCGAGTCCGACATAACTGTCTGACCGATGGGTGGTATTCGAATACCACCCATCGGTCAGATGGTTATGTCGGATTCCCGCACAGGAAAAAAAAAGGTGTAGTTAATTATCAACAATTTGTGCATTCGACTCAGGTAGTATTGTAAATTAGGAAGTTTGTTAATTTTTCCCATAGATTTAACTTTGTTTAATTTTGTATTCTGATATACACGGGCAACGACTTGTATCAAGAGACAGTATACTATTGTTATCGTTTCGTACTTCCAACTTCGATTACCTATCTTATCTCTAGCATATCAACTGTAGTTGTTAATTTTAACCGTGGAATGAATTGATTAAAGTAGAAGGTATGTTTGATGGTTGGAGATAACTTTGCATCGGAGTCACTGAAATCGTTAATATCATGTATAAACTACCAAGTACTATAATTTTCTTTAATTTTGCTTTATAGTCAGGTGTCCCAACTACAAATCATTATTTTTATTGCTAACTAGTTACGACAAAGAAGCAGTCTTATAAGTAACTTATTTTTTGCAGGACTGGACTACTTCAAACTTAGGTACAATGCTCTTTAAATATGAAAAAACTCTTGACAGCACTGCCCAAAATAGAACGTACGTAGTTTTAGTTTGGAAACATTGGAAGTGGCTTAAAGCACGACATGTTAGTAATTTTGGATCTTCAGAGTAAGTTCAACAATAATATTATACTAAGCAAAGAAAAAAAAAGACCCTTCTTCGATGTCAGTAATAAAATTCAGAATTACTGTAATAGTTTGGGGGTAAAAGAAAAGGTTTGTCCGTCCCCTAAGTAAGAGGCTAAATCGTTTTTATCGTCCATTTTAAGTTTTAAAGTTCTCTTCTCAATCCATCACTCCATCGTAAACACAATTGCTGTAAATCTTCTGAACGTATAAACTGTGTATGGTGTTACTCTACATACTCTGTACATTTGTGTTAAACTGCATTAAGTATGTGTAATCAAGCTATTCTTTAGCATACAATTTTGTCAGGGTTAATTTGTGAGTATAGAATATTTTATTAGCACTTGATCATACAGTATCGTGTTGTATTGAACATCATGTTGAACTAGCACAAGATAAATTTAGTTATTCAGTTAGAGTGAAACATCTAAGGACCTGTACAAATATGATGAAAATAATGAAGTTGTCTTGGATGGCTTTATTATCAGTGAATAACCTAGGATAAAATCGCGGTAACACTGACATACAAGCGGGTGGAGCCGCGGGCAAAAGCTAGTTCTTATATGAAACCAGATTCCGCTTTCGCTCCTCGATAGCTTCTTTTTTTTTCAATTATTTTATTATTGCATAAAATGCAATTAACTGCTAGAGACTTGTAAACATAATTTTTAAAACGTACAGTTTTCTTTTATTTGTAGTTCTGTTATGGAGACTTTTATACAAGACTCTATTGGTTATAATATATAATCAACTTAAATGTAAACTCCTAAAAAGGCCGTACACAAACTAAAATTATATCATCCAAGTAAACAATAATATTCATTAAAAATGTTCATAAGATGAAAACTACTGGGCCTAACTATGTTAAATTTTTATGTGACCACATGGCAACTATTCCGCATCAAACTAAAGAAGAATCACGTAAATCGGATCATAAATCTCAGAGTAATCGGTGTACATACATAAAAAAAAACATACCAATCGAATTGAGAACCTCCTCCTTTTTGAAGTCGGTTAAAAATGTAGTATTTTTTGTCATTCACCCTAAAGACAATAAAAATTGCATTCAACAAATTTTAAACCCGGTATTTGAAGTTGTGTAAGTTGTTCAAATAAAAGTTTCAGCGACAAAAGAAGGTCTCTGAATGTTTTTTTCGAACCAGTTGTGTAGTAGAAAATGTCCGCACTTTTATTAGCTTTATCTGTATGTATGTATGTAACGGAATCTTTGAACTCGATTTTTAATCACCTTACATGCTGAGATTAATTCGAAATTTTGCACGTTTGTTTGAGACTGATGACAATACAATAATTAAATAAGTTTGTTTGATTATCCTGATCAGGATCTTCAGGATTAGTGTCTTTTTCCATATCTAAAAATACGGTAGTGTCTTGTGCCATGTAGTAAGTTGTGTTCTGGAGCATATGCGACTTATTTTCTTATTACTTTTTTAGTCTTTAATGATAAAATAATCTTTATTAGAGACTAAACAAGGAAAAATAAATAATAGTTTAAAAAACTAAACTAAAAAGTAGAAAATAATTTTCTATGAACGGGCGATTAAGAACAAGAACATTTTATGAAAAAAAGGCGTGAATAGACTTATATAAATAAATAGTTTTACATTTGTAAATTAATTAATTTTTTAAAAGTAACTTTTATCATTGTCTTTTGAAACATATTTGAACTTTAAAACCATATTTAAATGTTTGTTTACAGAAAGGATCCTTTAAATGACTGCAGTGTAAATAATTGTATTTTTACTGGAGACGATGACAAGTTAGACACAGCTGACGCAGTAGTCATTCATTTGCAGCATGGGCTTATACCTCAAGTGAAACAGAGAAACCAGCAACAAAGATGGATATTTCTAAATGACGAATCGCCAAAACATACTTTCTCACTTGCGAAAAAAAAATTGAAACTAAAAGATTTCGCAAACGTTTTCAATTGGTCCATGACCTACAGGTATGTCGGTAAGCCGTGTTTTATTGTTGTTACCTCTCTCCATCTACAATAGAATCTGAAAAAAAAACTGTCAATCATTCCTGCTTTGAGTGTATTTAGGCTTAAAAATGAGGCAATACATTCTACATTACAGGAGTGACGCTGACATACCAGTACCTTATGGGCGTACAGTGGCATTTGATGAACCTGTGTTTAAAAACATTGATTTCGAAGATATCACGAATATTATTCCAAATTGGAAGAAAAAAAGACGCGATGTCTTGGTCACGGCACTTATTTCAAACTGTGTTAAGTACAGAATGGATTTCATAACAGAATTACAGAAGTACATTCCGGTTGATATATATGGCAAGTGTTCAAATAATGAAACAAATCGTAATCGGTAGGAAATATATTCTTATTATTTGATTTTTTATTTGTAAAATACACAGATCGTGATGACTTCATCGTGTCTTTCGAACCTTTTTTTTATTAGGTTGGTGTTAGCTTTAAGTCTACTATGATACGGCTGAACTTCGGTGATTGCCATTGCCAAGTACTACGCGATATCGAAGTTCTGTAGAAAGACTGTTGTCGAACTTTTAAGGGCAGGGATTGCCTAAGGTGTTCATATGGCAATCGGGCTGATGCCTTAACGTGCCCTCCCAGGGACGGAGGATAGATAAGGACTAAAGACTTAATTAATATCTTATAAAATAGAATAGTATTATCTTCTACATTTACTAAGAAATAGGTTTCTGTTGATTATAAATTTGACATTCGGGTGTGTGGTGACGGATAAAGAATACGGAGTGTCATTCATCGTCAGAGCCGACTAAGGGAACAAACTACGCAGGATAACAGCACTGCAATAAAGATAAAGAAAACTTAACACAAACCCTTTTTTTTTTTTTTTTTTTTTAACGTGTGGAAATCCCCTCGGACCGTCACCCCACCGGGGTTTGCGGCGGGGTGGTGTGTCGGACTCGAACCGACTAAAACCACACGGTGTGCCCTCTTTGCGCTTCCAGTTTAGGAGGGGTCCAGGTAGTTATCGCCTTCTGGACCCCTCCTGGTGCGGGCTCCGTCTTCAATTATCCTCTCTTTAGGCGACGTCCGGCACACGCGGACGCCGCCCCCTCGCGGCTGGCCAACTAATGCGGGTGGAGGGGAAACCCACCCCGTCCACCCGCGGCCACACTCAGGGCGGCATGAGGCGCAGGTAAGCGCGCCTCCGCCGCCCGGTTCGCCGGCGGCGGATCAGGTCCGAGTGGAGGTCGTCCTCCCGGGCCTTCTCCGCCGCCTCCTTCTGCGAGATTACCTCCTCGCAGAAGGTTGCGACCGCGGTAAAACAACTGTCGCTACCGGCCATGGAGCGAATTACGGCCGGTAGCGAGAGATCTGCTCCAATGACTGCAGTGAGGGCCCGGCGCTGCGTCGCCCATGCGGGGCAGACCGCCAGCGTGTGCTGGGCCGAGTCCTCACTGCAGTCGCAGTGGTGGCAGGCGGGACTCAGTTCCCTCCTAGCGACCGAGTGCAGGTACTTTCCGAAGCAACCGTGCCCGGAAAGCACCTGCGTCAGCCGGAAGGAAAGGGCCCCGTGCTGCCGCCCTGCCCACTCGGCTATGACCGGCTGGAGAGCCTCCACGGCGGCGAAGCCAGCGCGTGGAGTCTCCAGCCGGAACGACCATCTAACCATGGTGGCTCGGCGAGCGGCTTCGCGCCACTCGCGCACGTCTTCGGGCGGAGGGCGAAATCCGCTCTCCGCCCGGAAGTCAGCCACTCGCCGATAAACTTCGGCGAGCACTTCCGCCTCCAAATCCCACGGGGGTGTTCCGGCCAAGGCGCAAGCCGCCTCGGTGGACACCGTGCGGTATCCGCGTATGGCTCTGACCGCCAATATCCTCTGGGGGCGCCAGAGGCGCGCCCTATTCGGGGCGGTCAGAGCCGCCACCCACACCGGTGCACCATAAAGCGCCATGGACCGGACAACCCCCGCGTACAGCCGCCTCGTGGGAACACTGGCCCCGCCCAAATTGGGCAAAAGTCGCCCTAGGGCGGAGGCAGTGTCCACCAGCTTCGGACCAAGCTGTCGGAAGTGCTCGTCGAAGAGCCACCTACCGTCTAGGACCAGACCCAGGTACCTCATCTGGGCCCGGACCGGTACGAGGACCGAGCCGACCTCGATTGAGGCGCCGGCGGGTGGACCACGACGGGGCCCATGAAATAATAGGGCCTCCGTCTTATCCAGGGCCACCCGTAATCCCAACGCCTCAATGCGCCCGACCACCTGGGAAACTCCCGTGGCGGCCAGGCGCGCCGCCTCCTGGAAGTTAGCCCCCCGGGCCGGGACTAAAGTGTCATCTGCGTAGCAGAGTACACCCAGCCCGGGGTGGAGACGCCCTCGTAGGGCCCAGTCGTATCCAATGTTCCACAGGAGTGGTCCTAGGACAGACCCCTGCGGAACACCGCACGACATGGCCCTGCGTCTCAAGACGCCATCTCGGTCCTCGTACATGACGGTTCGCTCCTCAAGGTAGTCTGCCACCAGCCGCCTCAGGTACTCCGGCACTCCGTGGTAGCGGAGCGCTTCCCTGATGCAGCTGAATGGCAGACTATTGAAGGCGTTGGCGATGTCCAAGGACACCGCCAACACCACTCCGCCGCAGCTCACGGCCTCCTCGGTCACGGCCCTAAGGCGCATTACGGCATCGATCGTCGAACGCCCCGCTCGGAAACCGAATTGGGCGTCCGACAGATCGGGGCCAACCTCGCAAAGGTGCCGGACGATGCGGGCAGAAAGCACCCTCTCAAAAAGTTTACCCGCCTCGTCCAGCAACACGATAGGCCTATAGGCCGCGACCGATTCGGCAGGCCGTCCCGGCTTCTGCAGCAGGACCAGCTTCCCGCATTTCCAGCGCTCAGGGAAGCGTCCGGACGCCAGGCTAGCGTCCAACACCCCCCTGAGGTGGTCCGACATGTAGTCGAGGGCTCGGGCCATCACTCGGGCTGGAACCCCGTCCGGCCCGGGGGCAGTGTTCTTGGATCTAATCCGTAGAACAGCCGCCCCTAACTCCGATTCCCTGACGGGCGGAACATCAGCCTCGCTGCCCCCGTCGTCTCCGGCTGATGCAGCCATCGACGGGGGTGTGTGCTCCGCCCGCTGCGGGAATAGGCCCTCGACCACTTCCTGCAGGAAGCTGGGCTGGAGAGTCTCCGTAAGGGGGGGGCCCGACGTGCGGAGCTTTTGACGCACCGCACGATAAGGGCGACCCCAGGGGTCACGCTCGAGACTCTCCAGCATCTCCTCTCTACTGACATCCTTGGCGCGGCAGATGGCCAGCCTCAGAGTTTTCCGAGCTTCTCGGTACTCCTCATGAAACCGGTCCACCTCCTCACCGACCCCGCGGTGACGTCGCCGACTACGGGTGAGGGACCTCCGGGCACGTACACAGGCCGCACGGAGGTCCGCCAACTCCTGGGACCACCAGTAGACCTCCTTCCTTGGAGGCCGACAACCACGAACGCGGGGCATGGCCGCATCGCAAATCTGCGTAATCGCATCGCAGAAGCGACCAGCCCCCATGTCGACCTCCTCGGTCGGGGCCTGCGGAGACAGCCAAGAGTGAATAATGGCCGCCTCCTCTAGTAGGTCCCTGTCGAGCTTGGCGATAGCCCACCGCGGAAAGCGGGAAGGGCGCCGCGCCGCGTGACCCCTACTGGGGTCCTGGGACCGGGAGAGCTCGAATCGGATGTACAAATGATCCGAGAGCGTCTCGACCTCTTCCAGGACACACCAGTTCCTTACTCGTGCGGCGACTGCAGGGGTAGCGAACGAAAGGTCCACTATCGACCCCCCCTGCTGTCGCACGCACGTGTTGGTGGAGCCTCTGTTCAGCAAACAGAGGCCCACCGACGCCGCCCACTCCTCAACGGCTTCGCCCCTGGCGTCCGTCGCAGGGGAACCCCACGCAATGGACTTTGCGTTGAAGTCCCCCAGCACGAGGACGTGCCCAGACACTAGTCGCCGCATCGAGGCCTCCAAGTTGTTAAGGAAGACCTCGAAGTCGTTCAAACTCCGGTTGGGGGAGAAATATACACCATAAATGGTGATTCCCCCCCAATCGGCGGCAACATATCCAGTACCCTTGTCTCTTAGCGACAAGGGCGGGGAATGAGCCGCCGTGGAGCCGACGACTGCCACGGAGCCGTCCCGGTCACCCATCCAGTTTGGACGGGGAGGGACAAAATAGGGCTCCGCGACTACGGCAACACCTATAGACCACTGTGCCATGGTTTGCAGGAAGAGATCCTGCGCCGCAGCACAGTGGTTCAGATTCGTCTGGACCAGGAGGTTGGAGACTTGATCCATTACTGGATCGTCTCTACAACCTCCTCCAGGGGCGTCGGCGTCGACGCAAGATTGACGTCGGAGGTAGCCTGGGTCGGCAGGCTAGCCCCCGGCGTTTGCCGAGAAGCGCGGGGAGGCTTGCAGCCCCCCTGCCCCATCTGGTGATTGGCAGGCTTTTTAGCCGCCGCACACACGGGGCAGTGAGGGGCGGCAGAGCACTCTGCCGCCTTGTGCCCGGGTTGACCGCAGCGGAAGCATAGACCGCTGCAGTCAAAACAGCTCTCGCACCTGGTGCGAGTGTGTCCCGCGGCTAGGCACTTGAAGCACCTCATCGGCCTCGCGGCCAGAACCGTGATTCTGGCATTAACGAAGCCGACGAGCATGCTTCCGGCGTCGCCCAACGCTTTGGCCGACGCCACGGGACAGCTGACCCACACCGCACCGAGGCCTCCCGGACCCGGACGGACGGTGCCGACTCTGATGGTGTCCGCGGTGCACCCAGTCTTCTCCATGACTGCATCGCGGACATCCTCCGACGTTATAGAGTCGTCCAGGCCCGAGATACGCAGTTCCGCGCATTTGGTGGGCCTGGCGATCTTAACACCGTCCGTGGCGGCGAAAATTCCCCGCAACTTCTCGGCGAATTTGTCGGCCGTCGCCGCGCCTTCAGCCCCAGGGAACTCGAAAAAAACTCGAGCTCCCGTCTGGGCGCGGCGCAGCCTCATCCCCGCCTCCCCGAACTCAGTGGCGAGACCGGGCCGGGCCCCCTTGAAGAGGGCCGCATACGTGAGCCCGCCACTGGCCGCCTCCGGCGACAGCGTCACGACTACAGCCGCGGTTTTGGGCGGCTGCAGCTTCCGCGGCCTCTTTTTTGAGGCCGTTGCCACCGGTGGCGAAGGCTGGGCTTGGGCTGCTTTCTGAGCAGCCCTTCTAGCCCGCCTTCGGGACTTCTTTGAGCCCCTCGCCTGCTGCCAACCTTCGTTGGAGGGGGCAGGTGCAGAGGGGCCCGGCAGGGATGTCGGAGCGGGGAGCGGAGGGAAAGCCACTCCGCTCCTCGGCGCCGCTTTAGGCCTCGTCTTGGCCGGCATCTGGGCCGGCGCCTTGGCCGGCGCCTTGGCCGGCGCCTTGGCCGGCGCCTTGACTGGCGCCTGGGCCGATGCCTTGGCCCCTCTCCTCGGCCCCTGGGGAGCCGGTGGAGTCGGGGCCGACGCCGCCGCCGCGTAGGAGACGCGGCCTCCCACCACGGGGAGCGCGGTTGGCGCAGCGGCCTTAGGCCGCTGCGATGACGCGAGCGGGGGGCGCACGACCGGCGCAGGGGGCAGTCTCGCCTCCAGGCCGGCCAGACGGCCGTCCAGCATACGCCCAACTGCGTCGAGAATTGACCGCAGTTGGGCGTCAGGTACCCCTGAGGTCGCGATAGGGACAGGGGGGGGCGCGGACGGGGCCTCCCGCTCGGGGAGGTTCGCCTGGAAGCGGGCGAACTGAGCGCTCAGCTCGTTCACCCGCTCCGTGAGTCTCTCGTTGGCCAACTGTAGGCGAGAGACATCGCCCACCAGGCCCTCCACGACCTCCGACAAAGCGGAGGAGGAGTCCTTAAGGGCCCTCACAAACGAGCCCTTTAGGTTTACGGACTTGGTGGCCACCTTTTGGATGACGGCCACCGCCGCTTTCGCCCTCTCCTGCACGGACACGGGAGCCTGGGGGGCATTTCCCCCCACCGGCTCCCGAACCTTGAGCAGGAGATCCGCGATCTCCTCCTCCGCTACGGCCTCGCCGTCCACCCGTACGCTTCTGTACGACTCCGCGTTTGAGAACGCGGAGCCTGACGGGGTCGAGACCGAGGCCGTTTTGCGTGCCCTCCCTCGGCGGCTACTTGCCACCTTTGGTGGCATCATCTCCTGGGACGTGTCGGTTTCCACGTCCCCTGAGCGTCCGCGTTTTCGGCTGTCGCTGCGATGTTCCGCTTCCATGGCCTCCGCGCCATCCGACGAAGCGGCGGATCCGGAACGCAGCCGATCCGATGCTCTTCGGCTCCCAGAGATCAGAGTCAGACTGACTTCTGGGAGCCCCATCGAGATGGGCGTTCCCGACGCCACCTCACCCTCAGTGGACGACCCATCGACTCCACTGTTCCTCTTCTCCCTTGCACCTTTCGTTTCAGTGTCCGTTTTGCTTGCCTTTTTTGTTTTTGTTTGTTTTCCGATCGTTTTTCTTAAGTTTTGGTTATCATTGTCCATAATAAATCCCACGAGTGGGGGAGAACTAAAGGTCCACCCGGGCAGAGATCCCCCATTACCCGGGCCAGCGTAAGTTTTTAACCCAACCGAGGGGTCCGCAGGTACCTCGGCTTGGAGTGCGCTCGCGACTGAACTTCCCATCAGCCATGCATCCCCTGGCCACGCACCAGAACACGGGATTCGGGGAATTTTTTAGAGAGGTTATCTTCCTCGCGGTCCGGGCGGTTAAGCCAAGACCCTCGCCCCCGATCAGAGCCGCGAGACTTAACCACAGCGCTCTTCTCGGGATTACGATATGCCGACGGTTGACAGGGAGACTACGTCCCCCTGCCTGCTCGGTGGTAGTGTGAGTACACGCCGAGCCCGTCCTCCTTTCTCCACCGCTGTCAGCGGAGAAAACTGTGGCCCCTACAGGGCCCCGCCATCAGGTTTTTTACCGAGGTTTCCTCCTCCATGCTCCGAAGAGCGAAGAGCCAGCAGGGCAACCGGCAGACACGCCCACCCTGCTGGACCAGGCCTTGCCTGAGAGCCGATGAACGGCTGCCTCTTCTGCTAGAATATTGGCTGCTGGCGATAATCCTCTCCTCCAAGAGGACAAGGAGGGAACAGTACCATCGCCAGCGTTTCCAGGGTGCACCACGGGGAGGTTTTCTAGCTAGCACCCCAACTTAACACAAACCCTATACCAACCCGTTTGGCCAGTGTGGTGTAGTAGGCCAAAACCTCCTTTGTAAGGCCTATGTCCAGTAGTGGACTATTAAAGTCTGTTGATATGTGCGATGATGGTAATGAATTTGATACCTTCGGTCTCCTTTTAGTTACTTATTTTTCATTTCATTCATCAAAAATATTCACTGAACATAGGTAACACACAATGTTTCTGGGTGCTTTTTTTTAAATTTTCCTAGTCAAAATATGAGTAAAACTAGTGTTGCGTACACTTTATTTTTGTCTTTATTTATGTTTTTCTTGCCAGTAATATCACTCAATAATAAATTTATTAAATGTAGCTTTCGTATTATTATTTTTCAGCTGCCCAGGACATTTCAAATCGGACTGCGAACCAATATCAGAATATCTATTCTATTTAGTTTTAGAAAATTCAAACTGTCGCGAATACTTCTCAGAGAAAATATGGTTCCATGCCTTTTCAAAAGGAGCTATACCAATAATAATGGGTGTATCTAGAAGTGATTGTAAAAACCTGTTGCCACCTAATTCATACTTTTATATCCCTATGTCCACCATTCAAAACGCGACTGAAATGAAAGCAGTAGCTTCGAACATCGTTTTCGTGAGTCAAAATGAAGAATACCTTCGTACGTTACACTATTGGAGAAATAACTTTGCAGCAGTTAATGAGCACGGGTATTTCGGTACAAAATCCTATCATTGGTGCCGCGTTTGTGAAGCCTTGAATTACAATGACGACACTGAGAAGATGTACAATGAAAGACATCTCAAATGGTTCTTAGATCCAAAGTTATTGTGTGAATGAAATTGATGAACCTATAATGTGACAGTTGTGTACCATGTTTGTACCATTTGGTACAAACATTTTGTGTCAGGCACTGGGCATTACCATTACCAGTTTTTTCTATAATTGGTTTTTGATATGATTTGTATGCTTTTTGTAAAGAAATATAAAATCATAACTTCTAAAATTCTATTCTCGTATTCATTTATTTGTAAATTAAAATAAATCATGACGATGTCAAAACTCTACATAGATTTGTTAAAAAAGAAATTTCTGTGCCGAAATCAAAAAAAGTTTTTCTATGTGTATGATCAAGTTTTATTCAAAAGCAACTGGCAATATTCTATTGGAATCTTAAATCAGATAAAACTAGCAGTTGGCTTAATACCAAGGCCGTAATGAACGACGCATCTGTAAAGTACCTAATTCATAAGTTTGGAGTCTATAGAAATTCAGATCAACACGACGTTCTTTTATTAATATCGCAACAGTAGGTACATGAATGTCAATTATGTGATTAAGTTCCTTTAACCGTACTAATATTTTACTCTTATATGATGCAACTTGTTTTTAGCGTTAATTTGCATCAAGCATACAAGAGTCAATACTATCACCGGAATTAGGGGTAAGGGAAGAACCTTGACCTGAGCTAAAAGCTATATTATTCAATGTTTTAGCCCAAATTTAGGAAATTTTGAAAATGATGGTATAATTTAAACTTTGCCATATGATAAATGATATTTATTTCTGTAAGTAAATCTTTTCAGATATTTTAATAAGTCGGACTTTATAGCTAGAAGGAGCCGGCATTTCCTAAGACTCACTCTGGGAAGAAACGCCGAAGCAAACCACAGAAGTGTCTTTTTGTTTTAAGTCCGTAAACAAAGTTAAATAAAACTGTGCGAGTACAGTAAAAGTTCCTGGTTGGGCCTTTTGAGTAAAGGACCATAGTTTTGAGTCAGCCTGTCCATACAGACGGCATACAGGCTCCAGCCATCGTGTAGCCTAACCGATATTGGTCAAGATCAACGACCCGAAGCATGACACTACCGCCAGCAGGACATTTGGGTACGGCGTAAAGGGCTAAAATATGAATTAACATTACAAGCCTACACTATACTCACATTTACATACTTACACCAAAAAAAAACTATACATTTCAAATTCAATGAAAAATAAACAAATTAAAACAAACAAAATACGAAATACACCAAAAAATTATAATAAAATGTCTATCACTTTCAAACTTAACAACAAAGATGTCTACGTAAATGTGGGCGTGAGCAGCATCAATCCCAAGCAAATTTGTCGTCTAAATAATCTGTAATAGTGTAGTAAGCCTTTTCACACAGTTTTAGTTCTGAGAGTCCTTCTTTTTACACTCTCTTACGCGGGTTATTTTAAGTACATAGCTAAAGGTGAAAGCATAGAAACATTGACGTTTCGGAAAGGTCATCGTCATTAAGAGAGTGTAAGAAAAGTAAATATAAGATATAGAATATTATATAGTTGGCAAAGTTTCGTGTGACATGTAGTTTATTTTAAAGAAATAAAGTTTAATGTTTGTCTTTACAAACGGATATATCTGTAGCGTGCCATTTAGCCGAATCCGCAAATAATTTTAGAGAGTTTTGAAAGTTGCCTCCGGGGATCTTCTATGAAGAATATAAATCCAATGTCCATTGAGTAATAAATTTCATCGCATTGTTATTCAGGGAGAGACTGGTCCCTTTGAATTATGAAACAAGTTTGTTTTTATTACTTGTATTGTTCAAGGTGTAAAAAATTTGGTTCAGTCCGGTTTAAGGATGACTTTTCATTAATCATTCATCCTTCTTAAATAAAAAACTCATAATATTTGCATTAAGCCTGGTGTTAACACGTTTCCAACCCTAGCTTTTTAGCCACATAGTCATTTAGCATAATTATGCTAAAGGAATTCCTTTCTAGAATAGCTACTTTTTTTAATTGTTGTATAAATACCTGAAAATAATCCAGCTCTTATGGTTTATACTTTTACTAACTAAGGTCAAACAAGTCAACATAATATTATTAGATACAGCAGAATTTACACTAACAACGTCCATAGTTTGGTTAATCCCTAAAGAAAACAAGACTATGTTAAGTCGCTGAGAAAACTTCTAGTTGAATTACGTAACTGGCACGTAACATTATTTGTTTTAAGAAATAAGCACTGCCCCAGAAATAGCTTGTAGAGGGCTTAGGATTAAAAGCGGATCATGGTCTAATTGTGATTAATGAAGTGTGACGTGTAGCGATGATGCTTCTACAGCGCGGGGGAACCTCGAATGTTTTGATCTTAATGTGTGTAATCCTCTTTTATGACGACGTATCAACAAATGTTTTCCGCTTTTGTTCTCGGTAAACCTTACATACGAGTAGATTTTGTTTTATTACTTAATAACTCGTGATATCATATTTGAAAGTACTTTAGCACCTTGGTATGGTAAAACTTTAGCCTTCGGAGGCTTTTATCTTTCACTGTGATTTACTTCTGGTTTCAAAGATTTTTTCTATATGTCAATTGTGAAGGGCGTGTGTTGTATTCGTCGGTTCAATCCTGAAGTACTGTGAGCTTAGGAGAAGTTATGATTAGCGGGTAAATGCGATAGAAAATAGTGTAGTTTAAGAGGAAATTTAGTGTTAATTCATGCCTTGCATTAGAATAGTGTCAGTGTCATGCCGTTAGGCGTGAATACTTCAGAATCTCATTAGGTCGTTACACGAAACTATTGTCGTAGTATCTTTATTTGCTCATGAGTTAAAAATCAGATGAGATCAAAAATATATCAAGCAGCAGACTTTCTTAACACCGGTTTTCTGTTTGGATGTCTTTTATGGGACAGGGGGTAAATAAGTAGACGGGTCTTCTGATGGAGAGTGATCAACAATGACCATGAACGCCTGCAACTCAAAAGTCTCAAGAGCGTTATTAACTGGTGGCTGGTTTAACACTCTGGTCGAGACGGCCCATTTGTTTTTCAATATATTTAACATTTTAATAGATTTATACGATTCAGAGACAAAGACGGTCTGAAAACATCTTGAAATTGTGTAAATGTAAAGCTTTGGGCTCAAGAACTCTCCCTCGTACTACGTACATGTGTATCTACACAAATGTAAAGAATGCCTTTTAGTTAAATTATGATTTCATTTAAAAACATAATTATAGCCTTTGAGTAAATCCAATATAAAGCGTTTCTAACCATCATTTAAATTTGAAAAAAGGAATGCTCTGACATAAAACATCATTAAACATATAACGTTGAAAGAATTTTTACAATTTAATTATTCTTTTAATCCCGGAGATACTTTTATAATAGCAGATTTTGAGTATATGACATTAAGTTGAAATATAAAATGGGGCTGCCTGCATAAGGCAGGCAAGGGCTAACCGTCGTTAAACGTTATTACCGGGATTTACATTCAGATTTAATTTCTGTATGCTGGTTTCCGCAATATGCTAATACAGTTTCATTGTTATATACTTTATTCTTACGATACATATATGCAAGTAACTTCATTGATGCTTTACATAGCTCAACGCATTTCTAAACAGGGTTTTTGTGCATTTGTTTAACCACCGTTAGGTCTCCATATATGAGGATGTTCTCATATTTTTTATTATTTAGTAGTTTAGTACCATTTATTTCAATTTCATTACTAATATAATATACGAGCATGTGATGAGTTTTAACTACTTACGTAAGAAAATGTTTAAAGGTTATTGTGTGTACCAGTACCAGGCATATAGCTGTCTAATATAGCGCTCTACATAGTAAGTAGATTAACGGTATCTATGCGTTATCGCGAAATTTATCGATCGATCACAAATACTGTAAAAACCGTTTTCACAGTAAAATCGATTCGGCAATGATTAAATTGCGCGTTCCATTTTAAATTCTACGCAAGATAGCGTATCGTTTTAGCAGGACGCATGTATTAGATTTAACCCGGCGCCATTCAGGTGGAGAATTGTTACACTAACATCCACGTAGGGTCAAAATTACCCATGTTTAGAAAAGGGCTTATTTTGGGAAAATATCTCAAAATCTGAATACATACCTGGGTTTTATGAAAGAGACAATATTGTTTTACACATTTGTATATCAAAATAACAAAAAATATGAACTAAAAACATTTATTGCATGTTTTTAAAGATACCTACTATAAAATATAACAAAAATAATATGGCTTCTTCTTTAACCCTAAAAATATACAACGTTGTGATTATAATATAGTTCAAGAATATAAATAAGACTAAGATCTTAATCATAAAAATTATAATTATGTCATCAGCATGAACCTAACACTGGTCGTCTTCAGTAATCAATTACGCACATTGTGCGCAGAAGAGAATTATGTATTCAGGACATATAAACTTCTGTTTTTCATGGCAGGTATGAGTAGTCTTTCTGTCCTTTTTAGCTGGACATTTTGAAATACCTGAACTTTGCAAATACCTGGAACCTTTGCGGTTCGTTGGAATTCCCTGATATTCTTGCGCATGTAACGTGGTAATTTTTGAAAAGATTTGAAAAACTAATGTTGGCTTATGAGATTTCACTCTTCGAGGCTGGCATTTACCTTGATTCTCTGTGTATTATGCAGTTTATGCCGTCTATGTTCAGCAAAGCATAAAATATAGTCAAAACCATTTCTTTGACTTCATAACATCAAATGTCGAACACAGTTCATCACATTCTGGCATAACCTGACGTTTCTAGTTACGTACGCTCTTTGAGTAAAAGTATAAGTTCCATTACAATGGCACAAAATTGTTACATTTAATGTCACAGTGGGTCAAAGTTACCTTTTTTTACTTTGAAGACATCTACATTTCGTTATTAGAAATCAAATCAATTTATTCTTTAATAATTCAATTTATTTAGTTACAAAACAAGGGGGATTGGTTATAAGAAAAGTGTAACATTATTATGAAAGTTCAAGTATTGTTAAATTTTAGATTCTTACTTCTCCTACATATGGTATGTATCTTA